TGACTGCTGGTTGTATGACCAGGTGTAGATGCTCAATATCCTGTGACATCAGTAGGTGCCAGGCCATTTGTTTCAACACCCCAGCAAGAATCCAGCAACCTTCTGCACAACTAACACACCAGATTCTCTAAAGTAACCCTGGCCAGGCCAGGTCTGAGCTTTATGGAAGAGAGTGGCAGAGCCATTGCATGCAAGACTGCAGGTCTCTCTCTTGGCATGCATATGCATGCACAGGTGTTTTATACTTGTCTACTCCACTTGTTATTCATAGGCTTACCCCCAGCATTTATGAAAAAATGACTTCAGACTATACTGCATCTAAATTCATCACATGGTCTTTGCGGTCAGTGTTTCCAGCAAATAATTTTTCCGTTAATGATATCTATTTGTTTTCTTTGAAGCAATGCCCATTTCTTTGATGTGAATCATTACTAACTGTTATAAAAATCATTATGGGGAGGAAACAGCATAATTAGCATGCCAATTGTGAAATGAATAAATGCCCCTTTGCTTTTTCATGCTTGATTACCCCATTGGGTCCACGGACCATAACAAGCAAAATGAATGCAAAGAGGAATGAGTGCAAGATATGCTTCCCAGCCTGTACTGCAAATTTGTTTTCTGTTCCTTTCCAGTTTAGATTATTATGAAGTTTATTAAACACTATTTGAATGATTGACAAGTTGTAAATTATAATTATGAACGGTTTCAGTTATGGCAAAGACTGATGTGACATCCTGGGCTAATTTAGTAGCTTTGTCATTGAAGAACTGTACCAATTGAAAGGTTTTGGGTTTGATCCTAACACCATGTCCTAACCAGATGTGACGTGACACTGTGACATGCAAAGAAAGAAATCTTTGCCGTTGTTAATCAGTTTTGGTCCTAACCAGCCTCGACCCTGTCATCAGAGGATTCTATTTTTAGAAACGCTTTATATTTATGCAACATTGCGCCTGAAACACCAGCATACAAACTATGACAATAAATATCTCAGGTACTGAGTTCTAAGTTAAAAGGGTCTGTGTGAGTTTGAATATTATTTTGCATGACCATTATACTACATACTGAAAGCAGCAATGGATGATTTACCTCAGATCTTGAAAATAAATTCATGTTAAAACCGTGAACTTAGGTGTAATCCATGACAAAGATTGCATCAGTCTCTCAGTATGTATTTTAATCATGTTAAAGTGGTTTAAAATGTATAGATTAGATTATGTAGGCTACTTATTCATTTAATTGAGATTGCACTGCTTTTGCAGACAGAGCCCTCCCACATACTCTTCTGATTGGCTGTGATTTTTGATTGATTTTTGTAGTCGTGTCTGGTGTGGACCGACAAATTGCTTGTCGCTGAAATCTTACCGCGTCACGTCTGGTTAGGACACGGTCCTCAATTTTTAAAAAGACAACTCTGTGGCTGTCACCGATGTTCGCATGCTGAAGTTTTTAATATGGTATTTCCTATGTATATTAGTCATACAAAATGTCAGGATCATGAATAAAGATAATCCTCTTCTAGGCTTTGTTTACTGCAAAGCTGCTCATAAAATGATATGTGATTTATCTTCCTAAATCAATAAAAATAGTCTTCTGATGTAACTGAAATACGGCCTTTGCATTTACAGATAGGAAAAAAAATATGACTATTGATAATGTGCTGGTATGTAAAACAGAGGCATACCTGTGAATTTATGATGGATAGCTGCGCAAAGTTGTAATTAAAATTGGACGGGAGCGATAAATCTTGCCTGCCCTGATTGGAGGCACCGCAGTGCTTTGATTGGCTGTGTGAATGAGGGAAGAAAGCAAACTGCCGCAATTGCAAAAAAAGATGCTGGTAAACCAAAGAGTGTACCACTAAAGGCTACCGGAGGTAATGTGCTTTCCAAGGGTCATAACACCGTCCTATATCATGGTGGTTTTTGAATTTTAAATTGTTGGACAGAAGTTAAAGTTAAATGACTTTTACCTGTAACAAAAACCACTTTCATAATGGATTGGTTTCTCATAGTTTTGTGTTTGTGTGTGTTTCTGTCACTGCTTATGATTTGACAGGGTGAGACAGGAAAACCTAATGCACATGTATCACTATTTGTCATACTGATGCATATGATAGCCAGCCTAGTTAACTACATTTGGTTTGGTTGTCTGTTTCTCATTAACATGTGGCTTGTGTATCAGCTGTTTGGTTGGAATTGGTTTGGACCCCAAAGAACAAATTTCTTTTTAAACTTTAATCATTCAGAAAATCCATCTATCTTTTTTTCAATTGTTCAGTAGCCAGTTTAGCGGATATAAAAATTCATTAAGGAACATATATAATATATACTGTATAATATATATTTTTGTCTGTAAGGGCCCTAAAACCTTGATTTGCTTGTTTCGGTTTCCTCAGTATAATCCAAGACGGCAGTATACGAAAGCTTGTTGTGTTTTTAATACTATTATTGTATTTTATATTCTATATTATATTACTTTGTGTCATTGCACAACTCTCTTCATGGCCTTTAATGGCACTTTACAAAGATGATTCAGAAACACTTTAATATTAAGATTAATCCTTCATTTGTTGTGCCTAAGGAAAGCAATAGATTTGTTCAATGGCATTTAGCTTTGCCATTCAAATGTATTAAATAATGTAGGCGCCTTAGATAATATAATAGCTCAGATGTATCAATATTAATCAAAATATATAGTCCAATGCAGAATAACAGGCTTTGTCTTAAGAGTGCTTTATTTTTTTTTTTAACTCCCAAGCATCAAATACACTCGCATTCATTCTCCTGTATGTCACTTTGTATTATATGCAGGCTGACACACAGTGGGCGAGTGTTTTCTGTACATTTAGATGCTCGAGAGAGGAGAGGCGAGAGAAAGACAATAAGCATGGCAGGCCAGTTGAAGACTCGCACACTTCCTGCTGAGGCTGTGACACACTTGCATGCGTTTGTCTAAAAAAAAAAGGGTCAATTTCCGCTTTATTCATAAATATCACCGCCCACCACATCAGCAGCTGAAATCCCACTGTTCCTCCATATCACCTCGTCCTCTCAAATAAAAGGTCCGCTTCTATTTCAGCCATCACGACTTGATTTAAAGAGGCTGATAAAAGAATTAATTAATTTTGAACCGTGAAAAATCTGCAAATGTGCTCAGAAAATTGCTTCCCCCGGCATAAGGGATTGTTTCAAGTGGAGATGTTTGCTTCCTCGTCCCCCACCTGCGGCTGTCAAAACCCCCTCTCTTATAAACCTTACTGTGCAGTTTGAATAGAGCCGCATCGGTTTATTCCTCCAGCAATCACTCCGCTCATTCTTCAAGCACGGACGTATCAGTCTAGTGATTTGGGAGGGGCCTTGACCTTGGCCCAATCTTATCACTAATTAAACCTCATCTAATCCTGCTGTGCGAGCCAGCGGCACCTGCTTCTCTGGGTGACTGGGAGGGGATGCATGCGTGAATAGCTATTACACTCGTTTCCAGCTTCCCAACTCATGCGTTGCTGTGCTCCCTGGCTAATCACTGCATATGATCTGTAGCCCAAGGCTCACTGTGTACACCAACCCTCTGTTTGTGATTACCAGAAAAGTGGCTTTATTGCAGCTGGCCGTTTCTGTATCTGAGGATAAAGAAAATCTGTCGTCTTGTCGTGCATATGGGTGAATTCATGTTATAGTCCAATTGCTGGCTGTCGCTTCTGTTTATTTGCATTTAATTCTTCATTAAACTGTAAATCTCCAAGATAGCTTTTATGACTGTGCTTGGCTGGCCTCCTACAGGAAGAGTTTCTTCCGAGCAACTTCTTAATAAGTGCTCTTCAGTGGTGGAACCAATACCTAAATAAAATTTTACCACTGGTGTTCCACAAGGCTCAGTCTTGGGCCCTCTTTTATTTTATTTATTTTTATTTTTCTGCCCCTTGGACATATTTTTAGGAAGTACGAATTAATTTCTGACGACACCCAGCTTTACCTGTGTTCCATGCCTGGAGCTTAGTAAGTTTGGGAATGCCTGTCCGGGTGTTTGCCAGTAATGTGTTTTTGTACAGTATATTCTAAGATGATTTAGTGAGAAGTTCCTAATAACTGTATAGAATTATCTTCCTGTGTGTGGTTCAGGTATACCCTACAGAATGTCCCCACAAAGGTGACAATATCCGAAAATGTTTTTTGAAAACCTAAAAAGGTTTTCTGTGTTGGGTAGGTTAAGGGTTCAACATGACATCATGACTTTTGCGTAAACATATACGCCACTTTTGAGTCAGGTGGCGTGTTATCTCTACGCATTTTGAGCTATCCGCGTGTATGCGTATATGTCTACGTCATTAACGTCCGCGTCATTCCGCGTGTCTGTACACGCAGTCAAATCTCCAGTCATAAATGCCATTAACCTCAGTGACGGTTAAGTTTAGGGATGGGGTTGAGGTAAGTCATAACTTTTTTTTACCTAGGATGGTAAGGGAACAGTCATAAATGCCATTAACCCCAGTGACGGTTAGGTTTAGGGACCGGGTTGAGGTAAGTCATATATTTATATAACGTTAAGTCAACGGCATTCATAAACACGCTGAAAGGCGATTATGTGTCTTGATAGCACGCCAAAAATGGAAATACGAATTGGCGTGTCATACACACGCTACTTCATGAGATCAGTCTGAAGGGTTAGAGTAAGGGGATAGAATATTTATTTATATATTTTTTCCTTGTCTATTCTGAAATCTTGTCAGGGAGTGTATGTAGACACTTAGCATGTAAACTAAATGTCAAAATTCAGAAATTTCAGGCACGTAAGAATTAGGTTTTTAAGATCATGATCATAAGAAAAATTGTCCTTTAATGTCAGTTATACTGACCTTGTTCTGTCAATCAGGAACAGTTCCAATTTTCAATCAACGGTCTGATCTTTCTGAGCAAGATATAAGAATGAGAGGTTTGTGTTCCTGAATGCATAAAAGGATGTCCTAATGATGAAATCTGTGTTTTTGTGTGTTACAGGTGATGCAGGTGGTGAAGGAACAGATCACTCGTGCTCTCACGATCAAGCCTAACTCTCTGGATCAGTTTAAAAGTCGTCTGCAAAATCTGAGCTACACTGAGATCCTCAAATTGCGCCAGTCCGAAAGGATGAACCAGGAGGATTTCCAATCCCGGCCCATTCTGTGAGTCACTGAAAACTCTTCAATTGTCTGAAGCACTCATTTCCCACAATCAGACATTTCCCAGTTTTGGTCCATCTGTACTGCACCTGTGTCCCACTCATGATTGAAAACAAGCCTTTAAATGGTTCATAACTAATTAAACTAAGAGGAGTCTCCATTAAATAAATTACCCAATACATTACAGTAGTGTCATTTGAGCTGGAATGTACAATCGCAGAGAACATTCGTTTTCTGTGCGTACAATACATCAACTTGCAATATAACAGTGAAATGGAAATGTCCGTGTTGAACTTTCAGAGCTTGTTTGAACTGAAACGCTGGAAATATCACTCATGACTTCATGTTCTATCAATGTGAAATATGTAACATGGTTCAGCCTGTTCACTATAACACCTTGTCCTAACTACACTTGACGCGACGCCGCGACACGCCATAAAAGGTATCTTTTCCATAATCAGAGTTTTTGTCCTTACTAGATGCGACGGCGACGCGCAAAGTTTCGAAACGTTTCCTATTTCTGCGACGTCGCGGCTGACTGATCTGCCCACACAGAGATATTACACTGGTCATGAGTTCACATTATTTATTTTTAGTTAAAAATACAGTAGGTCACTGTGCCACAAGCGATAACGGATAATTTACCTCAGATTTTGAAAGCATATAATATAGTGTTCAAAATGAATTCTATGCAAACATACAACTGTACTTCATAACAAAATTAGTCAATGAGTATATTTTGTTAATGTAATGATATTAACTAGGTCATTGTAGCTAAATTAAATCTTTTGTAAATTACTATTCATTAAAAAAAAGCCCACTTTACATGATAATGAGGAGGGTTACTTGTTAATCCCTAACAAAATTAAACATAAAAAGGATCAAATCTAAAATCAAAACAAGATAAGCCAACTCATTACCACAGAATGTGATCAAAATGTTACTTAGCTAATGCTCAGGGCAATGCTTAAATTACATTAGAGAAGTATTTTAATGTTTCATTAATATAGCAAATTCTCAGCTTTCGATCTAAAATTTGGCAGTAGTATTACTGTAGCAAGCCACAAGATAAAAGGACGTTTGCCAGGCTACTTCCAAGTAAAAATGTCTAAAGACCAAGTCTGTTTGTCACAATTTTTGATTCTTTCTTTGTGTAAACTGCCAGTAAAGTGGTGGATCAGTACTTTTAACTGCCTTTGTCTGACGTTTCTCCAGGGAGCTTAGGGAGAAAATCCAGCCAGAGATCATGGAGTTGATCAAACAGCAACGCCTCAATCGCCTGTGTGAGGGCACCTGTTTCAGGAAGATCAGCAGCCGAAGGAGACAGGGTAAGAAAAAACACCATGTCACAAGGCAACAAAGTGGCACAACAAAACTAAAAGCGATACAAGCTGCCTCTTTCTTGTGGATCCAAGTTTCTGTCCTAACCAGAAGCTATGAACAACACTACATTTTGTCTGTTGCTTGATTCTGTTTTCAGCATTTCCCACCCACACAGTACATTCATTGAGCAACAATCCTACACCTCATGTATGTTATTCATTAAACATTGGCAAGCTTGAGAGAGATTGCATGTGGTAGTAGAGAAACATAGGATACTGCATGACAAATGATTTAAATCCCTCAAGGTTCAAGAAGTTTACTGCCAAACATCGTTATTAACATATAGCTAGGATAAGCATGATGTGCATATTGCCTAATTGCAAGCTTGTTTCAGAAATGGTGACAACAATTTTTTTCCATCATTATTGAACATCATTATACTTATTGGGTTGAATAAGTTAGAATTAAATGTTTTATTAATCATTAGAAAAAAAAACATTAAGAGAATAAATTGTTATGCAAGTACTTTTACTAATACTTAAATTACATTTAAAATCGGGTACTTTTTACTTTTTACTTAAGTATGGTTGCCATTGTGTTAGTATTTATCTGGTTACTTGTACTTTTACTTAAGTACTGAGATTCAGTACTTCCTCCACCACTGTCTCTGAGTGAGCAGAGCTTTACTAAGAATTTACAGACACCTTCATTGGTCACAATCAGCAATCTCTCAGTATAGTAACGTAATGTTAGAATGTATTGCATCATGATAGTTTTTATCAAACTATTTTAACACTTTGCACACCTAAACACATAAACAACTGAAATTCATACGTCCTATGAATAATTTTTTTATGAGTGCTATTATTAAACCGACAGCATGATTTAGCAAGAGTGAAAAATAGCCTTTTCCGTCACTGAGAGAGCGGAAATATGGAGCCAATTTCAAACAAACGCTGAGTGGTGGGAGTGATAAAGCTTACGGCACAGATTGGAGAGTTGAAGGATCGTCAAATGTAATATCGCTTTTTACGCGGGCTGGCTGAAGAGGAGGGCTGTCTGCTGAGCTCAGTGGGAGGCTTTATCAGTTAGCCTGGATAATTTAACACTCTTCACACTTCTACAGGATTAGATCATTCTAAGACTAGACATCTTGTCTTTCTCTTGCTATGCATCCGCCTGTCTGCATCTCTCTCCTTTCTTCCTTTCTCTATTCATTTGAGAATTGTCACACTTTTCCTGTTTTATTGACATAATTTTCCTCAATAATGAACCTCATTTACTGGAGACACTTAATATGACTTACTTTCTCCCCCTCTCATAATTTGACTGGCATTACACATTTGATGAGTCGATATTTATCCAGTGATTTGACTTAATGCGACAAAGTTGAGCAGAGTTCAGATTTATAAAAAAAATTAAGCGGTGACTACTAATGAGAGTGCAGACATGGAATCTTATGTAAACAAAGTAAAAAAAAAAATCCTTGGTGGGAAAATTTTAATGTTCAAAATTTTTTGCGCCCAACCTCAAAGGATTCCACTCAACTTGCACTTGTGGAAACTCCGAATTTGATTTGGAATCAAATTCGAATTTTGGAATTTTGAATTCTCGGAATTTTGGAATTTTGAATTCTCCTACTGGAAAATAAGTTGGGACAGATCAATCAAGCGCCATTCGATTTGGTTATTTAACCAAATCGAATGGCGCTTGATCGATCTGTCCCAACTTATTTTCCAGTAGGAGAATTCAAAATTCCAAGGTGTCCAGAATGCAGGATTGGATACAGCAGTAAAGGAGGAATGCCTACTAGTAACCAATATTTCAGTGACTTATTCTTATCCGTGTGAATGCACCACATGAAATAGCATTGGATTTTTACCTTTGCACGTGTCCAGGTGTTTGTGGTATTTGGTAGTATGGTGAGCGATTTCACCAAGTACCACATGTTCCTGGATCAACATCTTTGTTGATCCTGGATCAAATTTCCAATCAACCAATCAGATTTGAGGGACAAGTTTACAGTTTATGTCAATATAGGCTTAGAACCGAGGTGAAATAGGTGTTAGTCACCTATCATTACCCTCTGATTTTAGGGAAAAGTTATGTTTAGGGGTAGGGATTGGGTAAGGACTACATTTTGGGACTGGAAATATGTTGATTCAGGACCATGTCTTACTTGGCAAAATCACGGTGACCGTGGCGGTATACTGTATATCCTTTTTTTCATTACAGACACAGATAGGTTCCTTACTATATTTCATTTATTATTGATATAGTAACCTTTGGAATGATGTAATGTACTTTGTATCACATTGAACGTATTTGCGCCATTTCAATAGACATTCAGGCATGTTCTACTAGGCTAATACAATCTTTAGAATGAGGTTCCCCACAGGAGGTACTGAACACTTGAAGCCACCAAAATTCCCAAGATAGCCCAATGTCAGATCATTGCTTTTGTCCATGAACAACTAACCTTTTCAGCAAGCATTTAAGGACTGCTCTTAAACAGTGGATTTTCACTGACAGGTGCTACATTGACATCTGTATTCCCTATCGTTCCCCCATCGAAGAGCTCTCTTCTCATGGTGGACAAAATGAGCTGTCCAGTTCCTTCCTTGAATCTTAAGTATTGCAGTTTCTACCTTGAATTTGAAGGATTGCAGAAGTTGCCTGAGGCTGAGCTTTCTGAATAATATTAAAATGTAATTCTTCTTTGCCTATTTGCTTTAATTTACTGAAACATTTTAGTTTTTTTTTTTCTCTTTTAGACAGTGAACAATCCTGCTTCTGGACGCCCACGCTTCTTAAGAATCTAGCTCCAACCCTAGTTAAAAATCCTAAGCCAGCTAATCTTCAGAATTACAGGTTTAGATTGGGGGCAGTTTGAGTTCAACTTCCGAGCATTGGGAGCAATTGGGTTCAAAGAGATTTGAATGGATTGTTTTTGCTTTGTAGGCGTTTGTACGCTTTAGATCGCCATACACTAGTTTGTAAATCTTTGCATTTGATAGATGTTGATTGAGTTGCAGTGTCATCTTAAGGTTAAGGAGATCTTATGTTCTTAGTCCCAGATGTAGGTTTAAGTGCATGCATGATGCCTGAGGAAAGGGCACCACAGCACTAGCATTCAGGCTTCTCTTAAATGAAAATAACTTCTTTCCGCATCTACATCACTCCATCTGTCTCATGACTTGTGAAATTCAGGAGAGCAATGTACAAAGGAAGCCCTCTTTTCATCATCTAGGTGGCACTGCATACATATTAAACCATTCTGCAGATATCTCTTCGGACATTCAGAATGGACTCACAGATGGCTGTTGGCTGCAATATCCATTGGTTGTTCATTGTACTTTTGTAGTGGTGGATAAACGGCCCATTGAGCTGGTTTGTTGGTAAGCTGAAGCTGTAGAAAGAGATCACACTAGATCAAGCTGTTTCCAGCACACTCCTTATCTCTTTGGGTATGTATATTCAGCCTGTGAAGTTCCGGACTCTCTTTCATCCCACAATGTTTTTTAATCTGCCAAACTGCTATTCCCAGCTATTAGGATTTGGATTCAGGCGCCAGGGTTGAGTGCCAGCTATGGCCTTCAAGGCTAAATGTGAGCCGTCCTGGCAGTGATCGCTTTTGTTTGCTTTTGGAAGCCTCGGGGGGGATATTGCCTGTCACTGCTTTACCCAATCTGCAATGAAAATCCAAATAATATTAAGCATTGAACTAGAATGAAAGACAACTTGTTAGCATTAGATTGTGGAAGACTGACCTACTCCTCTGCTTCTTTACAGACAAGTTCTGGTACTGTCGATTGTCCCCCAATCATAAAGTTCTTCACTATGGGGATTTGGAGGAGAGCCCTCAGGGAGAGGTACCCCATGATTCCCTACAGGACAAGCGTGAGTACACCCTGCGTTCTGATCGTGATGTAGTGGCTTCACTCTATTAAGATGGCCACACCCTGTCTTATAAATTTTCCTTTGTTCCCTATGGCAGTTCCTGTGGCTGACATCAAAGCTGTTGTCACTGGTAAAGACTGTCCACACATGAAGGAAAAGGGAGCTCTGAAGCAGAATAAGGTGAGCAAAAATTCCGATATATCCAAAGATCAAATTTTCCTTTGATGCAGTGGTGTGCGTCTTTGTGACAAAGGATGCATTAGTTATGCCTTGTAGATTTGTGAGTGATGATAGATCAGCTCACTTCAGTTTCAAAGTCACCTTTTCTTCTTCCCACAGAACAAAGCAGACAATGTCATATGTATGCCACAACTGTAAAAAAATGACTCCCTGTTGTCCAAATTGATTAAACTTGAGGACAATATATCAAGTGTAGTTGGAACCTTCTGGCACAGCCATAAGGATCCCCTTAGTCCTGATGATACTGACTGTTTTGTTTTGTTTTTTAACTTTTCTTCAAGCAACACTTATCTTAATAGGAATTTTACTTAAAAAAAAATACAACATGATACATCAGAGTTATTTTCATGGTTTAGAAGCATCTATACCTGCTCCTGGATGACCACATTCCTGCAGAGTTTAGCTCCAACCTGCATGGAAGTTTCTAATAATCCTGAAGACCTTATTTAGTTTGTTTTATTAGAGGTAGAGCCATACTCTGCAGAAAGGCCCACCACTGTACTAGTATTTCCCTAGTAGGACCTGGCCCCTGGGTTGAAAACTACTGCCCTAGAGTGTTGAAATCTAGGGGCCCAAATTTAACGATCAAAGCGCATGGTGCAAGTGCAGTTAGGGCATGTCCGAATCCACTTTTGCTAGTTTAAAGAGGGGATATATGATTGGTGCACCAGGCACATGGTCTAAAAGGGTTGTCTCTATTCTCTTGAGTAATGAGTGTGTATTGTACTTAATGTGAAATGAACCAATCAGAGTCTCATCTCCCATTCCCTTTAAATGCCAGTTGCGCTCACGCCGTGGCGGATTCGCTATTTACATGACAGAATTTGATAGTGGAAAGACCGTACGCATCTCCAGAGCACAAACGGATCTTCTCATGCGCAAGGGTTAAGAATGCGAGCAGACCATCTACGGGACAAGCCGGATTCTAACATATCTTTATGTACACAATAATAATCTTTAACATTGTAACCCTTTTATTTTTAATATTTGCCATGTTTGTGTGCCATGTTAGACCAGGTTTCAGTTGGTAAATGGCACAGTCTATTTCAGTTGCCTCAAAACCAATGCGCCTGAACACACTTCTTTTTCAGACCAGCAGGCCCATGAGCGCACAGATGGGCGCAAATGCATTTGCTATTTAAACAACGCGGCGCAGGACGTGAAAATGATAACTGCGTCAGGCTGAAAATAGCTAAGATCACTTGCTGATACAGCCCTTGGTTGTTAGAGCTTCATCTCAACACTCGTTTTTTAACCTCCTGCATCTATTCAGACTCATCACAGTTGTGAATAAGGTCAATGAATTTGATATTGTGTCAGTCATATAAAAGAAACCACAGTTTGTAGAAGTAAGTAACAAAAAAACGTCCTGATCTGAGATCCAGTGCAGTTATTGTGAGATATTTAATGAAGGCTTATAAGTAATTGCTGTTTAGTCAGGTCTTTGGGCTCTAGAGAGGCCAAGGGGTCTGAAAAGTGTTGATAAGATCTATTCTACATGTAGGTATAGACATATCAAATGTGCCATAGAGAGGATTAGATTGTTGGCCAATTGAACAAGCTGTCTTATTCTTGCTTGAATTAGTGACTTTGCTGGTGTAACCCCTCCACCCGGGTCCAACTCGACCCGCTCCGAGCGGGCCTCGAACCCGGGTCTTCGGCTTGAGAGTCAGGCACTCTAACAAGGAGGCTAAAGACGGCAGCCTCTAGCGTCTGTCGCTAGAGCGCATATTGAGATCAGGGGAGTGAGGTTTACTCGCACAGCAACTACTAGCTGGCCTCCGTTACACTCAAACCCTTAAACCTCACTCTCATCCGGGTCACGGCACCAATGTAACCCCTCCACCCGGGTCCCACTCGACCTCGAACCCGGGTCTTCGGCATGAGAGTCAGGCACTCTAACAAGGAGGCTAAAGACTGCAGCCTCTAACGTCTGTCGCTAGAGCGCCTATTGAGATCAGGGGAGTGAGGTTTATTCGCACAGCAACTACTAGCTGGCCTCCGTTACACTCACCCCCTTAAACCTCACTCTCATCCGAGTCACGGCACCAATATAACCCCTCCACCCGGGTCCCACTCGACCTCGAACCCGGGTCTTCGGCATGAGAGTCAGGCGCTCTAACAAGGAGGCTAAAGATGGCAGCCTCTAGCGTCTGTCGCTAGAGCGCCTATTGAGATCAGGGGAGTGAGGTTTACTCGCACAGCAACTACTAGCTGGCCTCCGTTACACTGGCATGTCCATAATTTTGACAGGGTTAAATGCATTGACCCCAAAAACGACATGTATTTTCTATGTAGATTTGAGTCCATGAGACTTGTTAAGGTAAAGCATTGATGCACTTCCTAGTGCTTTCTCTTGGTGCCCGGCAGGAGAAGCCGGTATACAATCACACACACACACATACAATAGATTGGACCATCTGCTGTCGTAATATGTTCGGAGAGGATCTGCAAGTCACGCAATAGGAGGCACACAAACACAGCAGCCCCATTAGCATTTGACAGACGGTGTCAATTCTCTTTCCTTCTTCAGGAGGTGCTGGAGCTGGCTTTCTCTGTCCTCTACGAGTCTGATGAGTATCTAAACTTCATTGCCCCTGACAAGCACGAGGTGAGCAACCAGCAACTGCAAGCTGCAAAGTGTGATTTGGATTTTGTGCATGCTGTGGTTTAATGCCATGCTTTTCTGGCTGTTTTTCAGTACTGTGTGTGGACAGATGGGCTGAATGCACTGCTGGGGAAGGAGATGACCAGTGAGTTCACTCGCTCAGACATGGACACTCTTCTCAACATGGAAATGAAGCTCCGCCTCCTGGACCTGGAGAACATCCAGATCCCTGAAGTTCCTCCCCCAATCCCCAAAGAGCCAAGCAATTATGACTTTGTTTATGACTGCAATTAATCTCCTTTCACTGGACTGACTGATGATTTTTCGTAACTGCATACTGGAAGAAAGACTCTTTCCTGCTAGAACTTGGCTCTCATCACAATGGATTTGCTGAACTTAATGGACTTGGCTTGCAAGGCCTATGAACCATATGGTCTGATTGAAGAACCACCACAAACTGGTCCTCAGGTCCTAAACCACTCTAGTCCTGTCGCAGAAATTTCCAGACGTCTCTTCAAACAGTTCCATTCCTCAAGCAGCCCACCTCCACCTGCTCTGGCTTAAAAATGGTTGTGTCAAGAATTTTTGGTTCCATCATAATTTCTGGCTGTTCGGAGTGGGATGCTCCCTGTAGAGTGTGCAAAAAGTCTAGGGGATTGGGGCACGTAGCACTCACTGTAATATGTTTCTCACTCTAACAGGCGGCAGCTATATTGCTAGCAAAGTCCAAGTTAGTTCTTTCTCCAAGTATCCCATTCACGCCTCTTAAACTGTAGACTGTTAAATTAAATTGGCAGCTTCATGCAAGAGGTTGCCTTTCTTGTCTTAAACCATACCTGCTTTTGTGCGTACTTTGTTAACATTGTCTGACTATAATGCAGGCGTGTAGATATAGCTCTTTCCTTCACTTGACATCAACCAGACTCATGGCAGACTGCTGTAACATTCCAAAGCAATATTGAGCTTCTGTTTTTGTAAGCTGGTATAAATTTTTGTGATATTCGTGATTGCTGCCAAGTAGTCAGTATTATACATTTCTGTGTGTTAAGGAATTTCATTTTTCAGGGCCTTCAAATTTCATTTGAACTTTCATGATTGATTTAATTTAAGATTGTGGGTATTATAATTGTTATGATTTATGATTATTCTCCCCTCATGTTTGTTAGAACGCAACATCCTGCTGTTTACATTAAAGATGGATTCCAGTTTGGTTTTTTGCATTTCTTTAATCATGCTGTCTTGCATATACTTTATATCAGGAATGACCAATCCTGCTCCTAGTGGGCTACCTACCTGAAGAGGTAAGTTTTGAGTTTAACTGGCTTTAGGTGTGTTTAATAAAGGCTGGAACTTAACTCTGCTGGAAGGAGGCCCCCCAGAAACAGGACTGGACTACCCTCGTTTGTATTGTATTTTATATTTTTATTAATATATTCTGTATGAATTTGTGGGAACCACCTTCGATGAGTAGTGGTCTCCAGGGGCTTCATTTAAAGCTACACTGTGTGATTTTTACCCCCATCTAGCGGTGTAAAGATATATGACCATCCAGTGAATATTAGTTTCTGTTCCTCTCAATTCTGATTTCGTTTTAACTCTTACGGTGGCCAATGTAGTCCAAGATTAACATGGCTTCCAGTTCGACCTCGTCCATGAGTGTTAACTGAAACGTAAACGCGAAAGGCGAAGCATGAATTAACGGGTATGTCCCTCTTTGGCTCATGTACTTTCAAGATGGAGGGGCAACATGGCAACTGACATTACCCGTATGTATTTGCAATGGCATATTATACACTCATGAGAATACTTTATTACTTGAAAGAAGTAAATATTCATTGAGAACACATTTTTTAAAGAACTAAGTGTTTTTAGCTAAGAATAAACTAAAAGAGTTGCACAGTGTAGCTTTAAAAAACGTGAATTTACAAAAATTCACGCCAACATTCATTTTTATAAAAATATACGTCTTTGACATAGAAAAGTTCTTAGTGCCAGGCCAGGTTCTAAGCAGATGCACACACTTTTCCTTGTGGTAGAGAGTGGGAGTACTGCAGGTATTTGGATATATAAGCAATTCTTGCCAACCAACATTCTCAAGTAAAGTATTTTTGAAAAAAAAAAAAAAAAAAAGTATGTTTGTTCTCTGAATCATCAAAGGTGCAGAGACAGCAGTAGCTCAAAGGTATGTCCTAAGGGAGACTAAAGACAATATAAGAATTGAAAAATCAATTTAGGAGAACTCCGATCCTATCTGGTGTCAAGATGCTGTCAATTGGATCACAAGTGGACGATACTAAACAGGGTCTAAAAACATTTTGAGTTTGTCCACTTTCGACCACTTCCAGAGGTAGCCGAAAACGCATTAGACCGGATTTCTTTCTTAGTGTAAATGCTCATGTGGTCAAATGCGTTTGAACAGCTGCTAAAGACCAACTATTCTCCTGAAGGGCCACAGAATAATGGCATGGCACTCTGCCTCCTGTAACCCTGGTTCTGCTCCGCCACCGCAGCGACCTCAATGACCCTTCCTTTAAAAGTGGAACACCGAACACTCGTTGCTATCAAAAGTTCTCTTTTCAAAATCATACAGTGAAAGTGTTAACTTTTAAAATGCTAATGCCAGAGTGTGTAAACGTCTGCTCCCCTGGAAAATTCATATCACTTACTTTCACCCTGACTGTGTCCTGTGTTGATCTAAGTCGCCAGACTGAATTGTTTATAAATCTTTCCAGGCTTTGTAAAGTCACATCTTGTATAGTTATCTTTTGGGAGAGTGAGCCAAACCTAATGTCCATACTCCATACGAGTTCAAACAAACAGAGTAAATCTTCAAGAAGTTCATTAGCTGTAGACAATGTTTTGAAGTCTGGCTATGATTTATTACACTGTTAGATGCTTGCGTTCTTGCATTTCCCAGCATATCTGATGGTGTGATCAGCGCTAAGGCTGATATATTAGGCAGGAAATGTTGGATATGAGCTTGTGGTTCCATTAGAGGTACAAAATCTCTTTTCAAATGTTCTCCTTCATGTTCCTTGCTGGTGAAATGATATTCCTAACCCTATATGTAGGCTACAGCAGAAGGCCTGACAATATTCAAGAAACGGGTTAACACACATATCATCAATAAGCACTCTTTTAAAGCTGCACTTTGTGACTTTACCCCCATCTAGTGGTGTAAAGATATATGACCATCCAGTGAATATTAGTTTCTGTTCCTCTCAATTCCGATTTCGTTTTAACTCCTACGGTGGCCAATGTAGTCCAAGATTAACATGGCTTCCAGTTCGACCTCGTCCATGTATGTTAACTCAAGCGTAAACGCGAAAGGCGAAGCTTGAATAAACGGGTATGTCCCTCTTTGGCTAATGTACTTTCAAGATGGAGGGGCAACATGGCGACCGACATTAGAACCCCTTACCCGTATGTATTGTTTATGAGAATACTTTATTACTTGAACGAAGTAAATATACATTAATGAGCACACTTATTTTAGAAAGAACTAAGTGTTTTTAGCTAAGAGTAAACTAAAAGAGTTACACAGTGTAGCTTTAAAAAACTGTTGAATTCTAGTATGATTTTTCAACGTCTTGTTCGCAGCTTCGTATCAGTGTTATTTTAGTTGTATTATAGTTGTATTCATATTTTGAATTGGCTTTTATTTGTTATATTTCTTATGGTAGTTTTATTTATTTATCTATTAAGATTTTCATCATGTGCTTTTGTCATTTTATTAGTTTTTAAATATTGCTATTTTTTCAGTTTTAATTAGTTTTAGTTTTAATTTATTTCCAACTTTAGTGATTCAACTTGAACTTAAATTTTCTAATACAAGTTTTTCAACTAATATTTGTATCTTATTTCAGCTTCACTTCATTCAACAGTGTTTTCAATAATTTTAGTTTTTTTTAAGTGTTTTCAAATTTCCCCTTATAGCAGTACAAATAAAATATCATCATCATCCCTGTTTTAGTTTGCACTGTGATGTTTTACACATGTCATGTTATTACCTCCTTGAAATGAATCGCTTGTGTTCCTCATTTGTAAGTTGCTTCGGTACAATGTAAATGATAGGCTATTTCTCCAAACTTGATTCTGATGACATTGTTTTGATGATCTGTATAGTAAATACACCATGATTTTTGGAGCATAAAATATTAATTTTACCCTGTTTTGTTAAAAAGATTCTGCAAATGGAAGATTTAGTCAAAATAATCAACTATATGCCAATAATAAATCCATTTCATACAATAACCACTAGGTGACAGCCTTCACTTCATCAAGACGTTGTAGTGAGTCTCTTTCTGCAGACAAACAGTATAACACAAATTTAAACTGCAAATGTAACAATGGTGACTACAATTGGTGATTAACTGTAATAAAACTTTTTTTTTTTTGAAAATCTAGTCAGTTCTAGTAATAATACAAGGTGACATACAGTAGCTACTCATTTGTGAATGAACTTTAATGTCTGAAAGTCTGTTAAAGTACAAAAATGCATATCCACAACATTTGATATAGATGATTACAGGTTTAATTGTGTTGTGTCCCTTTATATTCAGACAACAGTGTACCTCAAACAAGGTCTAGCACAACTCTGATCAGGCTTATTAATTTTGTGCACTGAAGAAAATCAGTAATGTAAGACACATACAATGTGTGCTCCTATCTAGCAAAGGTTGCTGGAGATCTTATCGTGGAAATAGAACTCCTTTTCTTGCAACGTGTTCCCCTGAGACAAAAAAGAAAAATCAATTGGTTTTGGCATACATGCCAACACTGGCAAAATATCAAGCACATAGCCTACAGGTTCTTGGCAAACAAGGTGCAATCCAAAACAGAATAGGGGCTGTTCTCAGGTATGCTATTACTGAACATGCAGTATCTGCAGACATAACCTACATTAAAACTTTATATTTAAGACACATGTACATGTTATATTTGTATTTTGAGCTGGAATGGGGTATAAACATAAGATCAGACAACATGTGATTTGTAGGGTACAGGCTGTATATTTACACTACAAAAATGTCTAAAAGTCTTTCTTTTCACGTATCCGCGGAAAACGACCAAAAAACGCTGTTTTATGCATACCAGGCCAGTAGTAGGCGATGTTACGAAACAAAGAAACACGTGGCATCATTTTCAAAAACATTTGAGGGGCCGTTTACGCCTATGGTTTTCACGACACCATTTTCAACTAAAACCGGAAAACTTTTTTCTACAACATTTTGGGGGGCTGAAAACTTTTGAAAATAACTATCAAAGAGCAAATATTTTTGAAATTATTACCGTCATCGACTCCGTGTAAACTACAAAAACGCAAATTTGTGAAATGTATTATTAGCCTACATAAAAGGCGCCTGTAATGTTTCGTTACAAAGTGACATCGGCAACTACACTGTAAAAAATATTGTTGGTTTAACTTAAAAAATTAAGTAACCTGGTTGCTTTAATTTTAAGTTGACTGAACTGGAAAAAGCGAGTTAATGCAATGAAGGAGATTAATTTAATCATCAGAAACTCAAAATAATAAGTTATCTGAACTAAAGAAATTATTTAAGTTGATTTGACAAAAGAAAAAAATGTTGTGATAACAAATCTTGAAAATATTTTTTAGTAGTTTTCACGGATCCGTGTGTACGGGATAATTTTGACAATGTTGTCGTCGGTCAGGAATGTGGTGTCATTGTAAACGCACCCTAAAATGTTTAGAATGCTGTTTTTTGGACTGTATTTTGGAAGAAAACACTCATTACATGTTGTGTTTTCAGTATTTTATAGGCTCCAGAGCCATTGGTGCTCTATCACACAGCAACTCGGAAATTAAGGGCTGTGTCTTTAAGCACCAGATGGAGTGATGGAGTCCGGCACTACCAGGACATGGTGGGAAGGACACATCAATTCTTTCCAAAGAAAGCAAACTGGGTGTGGACAGTGTAGAAATGCCATTCATTACAAAGAAAGATCTTGTTTTTTGGTCACAGAGAGTATCGCCGTATGTGAGTCACACAGCTCTTGATCTTCCACTCTTAAGAAAATGTATGATTTATGTATAATGCATTATAAAAGTATTTTAATGCAGTAATTAACATATTAATGCACTGTATGGTCTCAAAAATAATTGTAACCACAGTTCTAATACATCTTTAGAAAGTATAATGCACAAGTTAAACACGACAAACAACCAATTTCAGATGGAATCAGTGAATATAATGCATTTAAACTTTTTTTTTATAATTATTCATGAAAAGATATGAATTATAATGTACATTATGAATACTTTTATACAGTACATAAAGGCTTTTAGTAAAGTGGTATATGGAAATGTTATATAGGGTTCTGTCAAGCATATACAGTATAGATAATTTGAAATGATTCTTATATGGATTTAATTATTTATTAATTTGTTTATTGTTTTACTTTATTTTTAATTTTAATATTTTTTAATGAATTAATCAGCTCGTAAACATATTTTATCAGTTAAACATGAAATTATTGTTCAATAATTTTGGATATTTCTTCTTTTTGGCATAAAATAAAATAATAATCATTATTTTTGTCTTGGTTTCTATAGAAATATCTAAACATTCTTGAAATATGTTTCTTCTTTGTGCAAATTGTGTGAGACAGACTACTATCTTCATCTTAAAAATGTAGGCATAATTAATTTAATTCATTTATAAAAAATTTGATATGTTCTCTGAAAATGTTATTATAATGATAAACTTTTCCCGGAACTTGTACATTGTTGTTTAAATTAATTAAGTCAAGATGTTCTTTTAAAAATATTATTATCTCATTTTATTTAGAAACAAACAAAATGCTGATTAAACAAATTGATTTTTACATTGTAAAGTTATTTGAAAACTGTACATGGTTGTTTGAATCAATTATAATGGTAACAGCTTGTCTATAAATTCAGTGTCTCAGTGTCCATTTGAATTATGTAGCATCTTAAACTATCTGAGACACAGTTCTTAGTTTGATGTCTGCCTTGGGACAGATGAGAATGAACATAAATGTTTCAGACAAGAGTTATTCGGTGCACTGGCAGGGCAGCAGCTCAGCTTTCTGTTCAACATTCAGCTCTACACAGTCTGGCCAGCATACAGTTCATGTTCCCTTGTCAATAATTACTTCTGATCTATGGTAACAGTAATGATCATGAGCAAATGTGGTTATTTCATAGTGTCCACACGTGCTGTGTCACGGACTACTAAATAAACCTGCTATGAGCTGTTCAGTGTATTGTATTTGATACATTTACATTTGTTGGTAGTAACAAAACTAATAGGATTGTGGCTTGTGTGCAGAGCTGGAAATGATTTACAGGGCCCAGATATACCTGTTTCACCTGTACAATAGAAAGGCAATACTGAAGCACAGTTAACCCTATCATGTCCAGATGCAATCTAACTTAACAGTCTGACCTTGAACATAAAAGTCTTGCCACGTTGCAGAATGTGAGTTTCTCTGCAAGTTGAGGGTGTTGTTGAGTCAACATTTGAAAGAATTACAACATGCTTACGTATTCTGAGCATCCTCATTAGGATTGCTTATTTTGTCATTTAATAGGGTTTTCTTTTATTAAAGAAATTGTTTTAACTATGGTGTCTAACTTTAGCAAGCACTGTGTTCAAAATATTAACCATTTATGCACACCCTTCTTATTTCTAAATTAAACAATGTTCTCATAATAAAACAACTTAGGCTATTACAACTAATTTAATTTCTGATTTCATAAGAGCATTTTCATTTGTCTGTGGATTTTCCATGTAGTCACTCAAATCAATTAGATGTTGGAGCTTCACATTGCTATTTATATTCTTCAAATGTTAAAGATTAAGTACAAATGGTTGATTCTTAAAAATACATAATGAAATTGCATAATTGGACAATCAAATAATGATTGATTCTCAAAAAAACAATATAAGATTGGACAAACACAAACAAACAGCTATATCATTGTTGATTTAAAAAAAGAGAAAAGCAAACAAACAAAAATGGCTGATTATCAAAAAAATCACAATAGATAGTCTACACAAATAAATAAAGTTAAACAAACTGTCACTGTAAAAATATTGTTGGTTTAACTTAAAAAAAGGTAACCTGGCTGCCTTACAATTTTAAGTTCATTGAAATGGAAAAATTGAGTTAATGCAATGAAGCAGATTGATTTAATCATCTGAAACTCAAAATATTATGTTATCTGAACTAAATTATCTAAGTTGATTTGTCAAAAGAAAAAAAATGTTGGGATTACAAATCATGAAAATATTTTTTACAAGATAGATAGATAGATAGATAGATAGATAGATAGATAGATAGATAGATAGATAGATAGATAGATAGATAGATAGATAGATAGATAGATAGATAGATAGATAGATAGATATGACAGTGTGAATATTAAATGACGCACAGGGTCTCTTGAGTGTTCAGCTGAACTCCAGCCTTCCCATAATGCTCTGGTCACGTGGTTCACTTTATGAAGCTCAAGCTCAGACTGTCAAATGTGAAACTTCCTGGGGTGCGATGCAGTAGCCTACATGCAAGACTGTGACATTTACCTCAGACATGTAACTCGTCAAAAGGTCGCCCGTTTGTAAAAAGTCCAGCTACTTAAGCTTTTAGCGCGAGCTGCAGTTGTGTGTGGAGTAGAGCGGGGTTGTTGTTTGAGGAGGATGTGTGTGTGCTGACAGTGATACGAGCGGCGGACGAGCTGCTCCTTATACTCTATCTGTCTAAGAGCACGGCATGTAGAGATCAGGTAGGATCATCATTAGCTATTGAGTTACACGAGTCTCGTGTATGTGTGTGGGTGAGTGTGCAATATATGAACATGTTTTGCATGTTAACTAGCCTTCAGTCAGTCAGACTCAGAACAATAATACATTCGATGATGATTGTTGTTCAAATTAAAGTTAAACCGTTTACTCATGTGTTTACACGGAAAGTCACTGCTCGGCTGTATCATTGTATTTTGGAAATTGAAATTGACCAGTTATGTTATGTACGGGTTATGGGTTAGCATACTTGTATTAATAGTTTGATAATGGCATGTGCTTCGCTTCGCTCTCTCTCTCTCTCTCTGTGTGTGTGTGTGTGTGAGAGAGAGAGAGAGAGAGAGAGAGAGAGAGAGAGAGAGAGAGAGAGGAGTGAGAAAAATACTGGTAGGTTACCATGATGCAGTGATAATAATAATCTTCTATGTATTTCTATTGACATGGTGTAGTAGGCTATTCAAGCTCTTTAAGAATTGAATTTCCATGTATCATGGTACCACCATGTTTTCAAGTAGCTACCATACTTTGGTAGGTAGCCTATGTTTTTGTTCGTTTCTGAGTGTTGAGAGGGAGTCAAAAGCCAGTCCTTTTTCGGCACTGCTACTTCTTATTTTGGAAATTTACATTATTAATTCTGCTTCTTATTATTATGTGTGTTTTACTTACCTAAATCAGCTTAACCAGTTGAGTAGCAATTCAACCAGGCTGGGTGACCAGCTAAGACCAGGAAATCATATTTTTTTTAATCTGGGTTGTCTAAAATCCAGAAAATATACAGTACCTGTCAAAAATTTTCTTATGCTCACTAAGGCTGCATTTATTTAATAAAAATGCAGCAAAAACAGTTATATTGCAAAATATTATTCCCAATTAAAGGAGTAGGTTAGTCCACTTAAAAAAAAATAATAATAAAAAAAAATTATTGATAATTTAGTCGAAAAGAAATTAAGGTTTTTGAATAAAACATTCCAGGATTTTTCTCCATATAATGCACTTTACTGGTAACCAAACAGTTCAACATCCAAAAGACAGTTTCAGTGCAAACTGCAAACTGTTCAAAGGGCTTTAAATGATTCCAGACGATGAGTAAGGGTCTTATCAATCGAATCGATCGGGCATTTAAAAAAAAATAACAAAGTTTAAGTTTTATAAGCTCAAATGGTCACCTTGCTCTGTTCTGTGATACGCGTTCGTGACTCTCCTGTTCGAACTCGTTTATCAACAAATCTTTCTCCGAGTCAATTCGTTCATTTCGTTTGTTGAATGAACCAAATAAAAAAGATTCGTTCATTTTGATAAACGAGTTCAAACGGGAGAGTCACAAAGTTATTTGTTTGTTGTGATGCAAAGCTGAATTTTCAGCATCATCAAGTACTTAAAATAGAAAATAAGCTGTAATATAACTATAAATAATGATAGAATCTATATGAACTTCTGGTTTGAGGACAGGTGGTTTTAGGAGGAGTGAGTTATAATGTAATGTCATAATTAAAAAAAAAAAATAGAAAATGGAAGGAAATGCTAAATTTGTGTTTAGAACAAAAAAGTGATCACCACTGAGTCATTTCAAAGTGGATCAAAAAATAATAGCAGGGATTGTAAAACTGACAGTTGAAAAGGAACAAGGTGCAAATGGAGAGCACTTGTTCGACAAGTAAGTCTGGATATGTCAATCATTTTGGGCTGGTACTAAATTTAAGTAGAGCATCATCAAAGTCCTTTCATATAATAGATCTAGGCCTATTGGTTTCAGCAGGAACTGTAAGACAGCTTTAGTCTATAACACAGATGTTCTGGCTCCTGATTCACATGTAGCAGCAAAATCTAGATTACTGTAAACAGAACAATCACAATGTTCTGACTAAACCCTCCCTAGATGGCTGTACTAACAGCCCTGGTTGTCTAATTTTTAGTTGTTTATTAATACAACACAGACAGTCACTCTATTATCCTTCTCATCCTCATATTGTTCAAAACCTGTGTAACTTCCTTTCTTTTGTGGAACACAAAGGTAGTAAATGTCTGAGCTTCTCTTCCATACAATGAAAGTAGGTGGTGACCAGTGGCTGTTAATCTCCAAAATGGACAAAAAAACACTAAAAGTAGCCTGTATTACCCAGCAGGCATTATAAAAAAAAAGTATTTTAAAGTCATATGATAGTTAAATTTAAGCTATTATTCTTCACTGAAAATCTTGTTTTGACCGCTATGGTCGCCATTCACTTTCATTATATGAAAAAAAGAACAGCTTGGACGTGTGAATTTCTCCTTAGTGTATCATGGAAAAAAGTAAAATGGGTTTCAAAGGACACAACATGATTAAGCTTTTAAACACTTTTGTGCACAAAACCTTATAATTTAAAGGTAATAATGCCACAGAGGTGATACTCAAGTTTCTCAACCCTCAAGAGCTGCAGTTCCCCAGCTTTCCCACATCCATCCAACCTATCAGGTTTATATGGTAGTTTTCATGGGTGCCCAGTCAAGGGTTGCTTTCAGAGAGCTCTCCATTTTGTAATCCCAGAAAGCTTTTGTCACTTGGCTTGTGACCAGTCTTTTGGAAAGGGGGAGTTACATCTTCAATAGATTGGAGCAGGAGAAGGAAACACTCTTTTCATAATTGTTGTTGCCAACTTAAAGGATAAAAAATAATAAAATTAATACATTTAAACAAAAAAAATGCTAAAATTTAAAAAACAAAAAACAAAAACACTTTTAGAAATGACTTAAGGATAGTTCACCCCCCAATTTTTTAATTTTTTGTTATCGTTTACTCGTCAAATTGTTGTAAACCTGTATAAGTTTCTTTGTTCTGTTGAACACACAAAAAAAGATATTTTGAAGAATGTTGGTGTAACAGTCCCACAAAATATGAGTCTAGGATTCGGGGACACAAACGACTTACAAATTAACCAGAAAATGGGAGACGGTGAGCTCAGCAGAGACTCCCCGCTCCTAACTCAAGTTCAAAACGGTAAACAATGGCAAAATGGCAATGAATGGGGCCTTCCAAGGACATCTCCCATTTTATCTCCAGTCCTTCCCCTGCGCCACCAATCAACACTAAGGAAACAAAACAACATTAACATAATTAACATAATAAACCTTAATAAGAGGACTCCAAGCCAGGCGTTCGCGATACACATGTAACAGTTGATAAACAAACAGATGTTGTTACTTAATTTACTTCCATATTATAAAAAAAATGCTATGGAAGTCAGTGGGGATCAGAAACTGGTTGGTTATACCAACATTCTTCAGAATATCATCTTTTGTGTTCAACAGAAGAAAGAAACTCATTGAAATGATGATGATGATGGAATTTTTAAGGTTGTGTGAAGTCTGTAAACTATACCTTTAAGTGTTAAACACTTTGGGCCCACTTTACTTTTTGTTTTGTTTTTAAAAGGTCAAAAAGGTGTAGCCTATAAGAAATGCACTGGATTAGTTTTATGTATCATTTATAATTCAATGGTTATATTTATGGCAAAGTTTTGGAACATTTTTATGAGTATGTGTTTCATAACAGGCATATGGTTTCAACATAAGGGGTGTAGTTAAACCTATACATGCATTACTATTTTTAAAGAGCACACATAAGTAGAAGCAAATTAAAGGGGTGATGAACTGAGAAATCAAATTTCCTTGAGCTTTTGACATCGTAAAAAGAGGTCATCATATTATAAGAATATCCTGTAAGTTTCAGAACTGAAAACCTCCTACTGTAGTTAGTCCAATGAAAGCTATTGACACCAGAATCAGCAAACGACTCATTTTTCAAAGTGGGTAGTTATTAGGGCTGGGTATTGACACAAATTTCACAATTCGATTCGATTCCGAGCTTCACAAGCTTGCAATTTTATTCGATTTCGATTTAATATTGATTATTTTGGATATCAATTACAATAAATGGCAAATTTTCTCAAGGAAATCAAATCTCTTAACTAATGCTGTAAACTATGGGAGTCTAGTTGTAGCCTACTAGGCTTCATTAGCCTAAAATGAAGGTAACTGTTTTGTAGCTATACAAACACTTAAATTACACTTTTATTTATTTTTATAATAAGAAGATTATATGAAATATAAACATTTAAATGGTGGCTGTCATAAAAACTTGCTAGATTTATAAATATGCATTAAATATTGAAGAACATTAAGATTATATTGCATATGTAATATGGTGTATATATTTAGCAAAATGCTCCTCTTTAGAGTTATTTTTTATAGCTGACTAATGAGTTTATGTGGGTTTTCTGAGGTAAATATGACGATACATGACATTGATTACAAGCTGTTTAACTGACGTCTTTCCACAGGTGATATGCTGATTAAGCGAAGTCGATTTCGATAAGTTGTACTCAATCTTTTAACACACTTTCAGATGCTCATTCATGTTTATTTCGCGCTGTGACTGGTATTATTAAGCCGGAAGAGAGATCAGCGCTGCTGCTTCTCTTGAGCTGCGCCAGAGCGATCTCACGCCACAGCGCCAAAACATTATTTATGTTTTTGAATTTCGAAAGAAATTGGACGTAATTTGAAATTTGAGACTTTGTTTCATTATATCAATAGTAACAAAGCACAAAGATTATTGTGATTTTTTATTTATTTTTTTTGGATGCGTGCAGCCACGATACAATGTTCCATTTATTCAAATGAAACAGGATGACTAATCGATTCTTGAGATTTAAGAATCGATATCGGTTCGTAAAAATGAGAACCGATAAATATCGAGAAATCGATATTTATTACCCAGCCGGCCAGCCCTAGTAGTTATGATGACAAAGACGATAAAACACCACCCCCACAGAAGAAGACGGACGCCTACTTCAACGCGGCCGGTTTAGCCCCGCCCACCGATTCGCGCATTACACGCATAGCTAAATAACATAGGCCTCGTGATCGTGATGACAAACCGGATCAAGCTACTGAGCAGTAAATATGCCATTTACAAAATATCGTGCAGTGGAAGAAGACAGTCGCTGCATAAGCTTCCTCTGGATTCCAATAGGAATGCATGGTTATTTTTAATGACGTTCCAGCTGAAATTGGTAAAACATTGTCCGTTTGTTCGCTTCATTTCACAACAATTCAAGACACAGGTCGAGACTGGATTTGCAGATCGATTAAGATTAAAAAACGGTGCTGTTCTGTCTATATTGGATCCGACAGGAATGGTGCAACACACGGACACTGGGTCGAACATGTATGGGCGAATCATTCCGGTTGCCATTGGGCGTTTACTTCCAAGTCTTGAATGCGAGACGCCCATAAAAACCGAGAAAACTAGGCTAGAAAATAGCCAATTACTTATTCATTTAGATGTTTTTGAATGTAAAAACCAAGGGAACGTCATAAGTTGACCCCAGACAACAATATATTTTTTTTAAAAAGCCAATTAATGCAAGCCAATGGGTATTTATAGTATCTAGTTGGATTTTTTTCATACATATCTTCCCCTCTTTTCGCTTTGCATTTGCACACATTCATTTAGTTAAGCCTGTATCTGCCATCAGCTTTTATACTGCCAAACATTTTAACCACAGACTCCCAAATATTTGAAGTGCATTGATGGTCCATTTATATTATTTAGTGTGCAGATTTGTTGCATCTAAATGTGTGCGTAAGCAACACTCATTATTAAATGAGGTTAAAATGTTGAAGTGTTGTGATTGAGGATTACTGTCTCAGACTGTCTGTCTGTCTGTCACGACTACTGTTCAGCTAAATCCCTGCATGCTGAAATATTAATGCAGCTCAATTATGTGATTACTCCGTTACCCTCAGTTGATGATGGATTGTCTGTATTCAACCCCTCCAATTCAGCTTCAGTGATTGGAGCTGGCGGTTTCGCATGAATCTTTAGTCAAACACCCTTGGATTAAAAGATGAAACAATGTGTCTGAATAACATGTTTGTTTTCAGTTAAAAAGATACGTTTCCGAATTTTCTACTTGAAACACTCTTTTTATTTTCCGTAAAAAGTACATTGTTCATTGACGAGGCTTTAATTAGATCTGGCCAATGTATCAGTCTATCACTAATCTGCACCTTCTCTTTCCTCTCTTGCCCTTCAGAAAGGTGGGAGTCTAGGGCTCTTTGACTGGTGCTGTTATTGGTGCTCGGTGCCAGGTCATGAAGATCCGCTGGTCGAGGAAGGTGGCTCTCCTGGCCAAGGTCGGCTTCCTCTTTTCTCTGCTGTGGCTCTTCTATCTCCTTATAGTCCGTTCTTCCCCTTCATCTCTGGCTAATAATGACGGTCAACGCGACATCCTGGTCCGTGACCTTCCATCAAATGAGGAGGAGGACTCCGATAACCTCCTGCGGCCTGTTAACGAGAAGCTAGCACCAGACTCCAACGCTCCTGGAGAATATGGCCGAGCCACTCGATTGACCCTCAGCACTGAGGAGAAGAAAGAGGAGGAAGCCAGCATTGAGCGCTATGCCATCAACATATTCATCAGTGACAAGATATCTCTCCATCGCCATATTCAAGACAACAGGATGCACGAGTATGTCTTCCACACTTTACCTCACAGCAATGGGCTCATTACACACCCTCCTACCCCCTAACATTGTCTAAAGGCTGTCCCACTCTAAAAGATTTTTAAAAACGTATCAGATTTTCAAAATGTGAGAGACCACAAACATGAGGACATGTGTGTGGAGTGCCGCGATGTGACCAAGACCACACCACACGCTAACAGATTCCATTCAGGAAATTTTGTCAAATCTCTCACGGTCAAACGTGACTTTAGAGTAAACAAACATGGCAGACGATGGCCAAGAATTAATGGCGATAATAGTAGGTACTGTACGCCCCAAATGGCATACTTATGGAGTTTTCTAAGGCCCTGTCCACACTACTGCGTTTTCGTTTAAAAACTGAGACTTTTGCTACGTTTGCCGTCCAGACTAAAACGGAGAAGTTTAGAAACGCTGCAGCGCTGTTTTGCGTTTTGAATCTCCGGAGGGCGTTTTAGTGTATACGGGACAAAACGGAGGAGTTCAGAAACGCTGACGCAGAGGCTGACTCTCGGCTCTATGATTGGGTGTCATCAGTCATGACGTATCCTTCCCTGATTCGTCAATCACTGTTTACACCGGCATGCGCATGCTCAGTGTTGGTGATTGGTCACGTGATCCGCGTTTTCAGTCGTTTTAATGTGGACGGAGATCATTTCTAATACGCAGATAAAAACGCTGGTGTGGATGGAGATCGTATTCGTTATAATTCTCCGTTTTTAAACGAAAACGCCGTAGTGTGGACGGGGCCTAAGCCATTTTGACGTATAAATAGTGCTAGTAGTGCGTTCATGCTGAAAATTCTAAAAAGAAAAAGTGCACTTGAGTGACCCGGATGATGCACTTATTTAAACGAAAACGAAGTGTGGAACGTTGGACACTTCATGCCCTCAGACTCCGATGTTGAAAGACAAAATTAACCTATAAAGTTTATACACTACACGGTTGAGTAAATATTGCATAAGTACCGTACAGTGTATAAGTGCATAGTGTATAGTGGGTCATTTGGGTCACAGCTAGTGTTTGGACTGCTTTTTACAGAAAATGTTATGCTTCTGTCTTCCATCAGCTCACTTTCTGATGGTTTTGTTCCACGTGACAATCTACAAAGTGTGTGTGCGTTTGTCCTTGTGGTTCCCCCTACACAACACGATTTCTGATCGTAAATATTCAACATGTCTTCCAAGCAGATTGATTTTAACACGCATCACACCTCAGGGAAATCTGATACAATAATCTGGAGATCCATCAAGATAATCTTGACTTACTTAGAATTGGGCCCAAAATCAGGCTGATTATCTTGTTGTGTGTGGTTGCCTTTAGAAACCACAGCAACTTTCTGAAAACACTATAGTAACTACTTAGAACACCTTAGCAACCACAGAGAATACCTTAGCTGCTACAAAGCAAAACACACCTTAATAACCTGGGTGGTGATGGCGCAATGGATAAGACACATGCCTTTGGTGTGAGAGACCCGGGTTCGAATCCACTGTGAGACACCAATGTGTCCCTGAGCAAGAGACTTGCAACCTCTGACATATATAGCAAATGTAAGTCGCTTTGGATAAAAGCGTCAGCTAAATGAGTATAACTGTATAGTAAGCAAGCACACTGTATTGTAGGAAACCACATAGAAACCCTTTAGCTACCATCCACAACACCCTAACAACTGCTTAGCGACATGCTATAAACATTCTGAACACCTGATAACTGTATAGCAAAGCCGTGGTAACTACGTGCACCTTAATAACTGTTAGGAAAAGCCCTGGAAACCCCCTAGCAACACCTTAGCGACCATCCAGAACATCCCAACAACTGCATGGCAACGTTAAAAACACTCTGAACACCTTTGCAACTCTAGCCAAGCACTGTTAACCCTCTGTTAACCCTGCAATGCCATGGCAACTACTCAAATACCTAGGAACTGCATAGCAACATGCACTTTAGAAACCAAGAATGAGCTAGGATCATGTTGGTGACTATGCTTGTCATAGAGGCATGTGGCAAATAAAATTCATCACACTATATTCCATTACATAGAAGCATGAGAAATAAATAAATAGGAAATGTGCTTGTTTTTACTTCCAGAGGAATTGAAATCATGTCCTGAATGGGGATTCCTCAGGTGATTGATACACTTCCGTCCACCTCACAGCTTCACAGATGTTGACTGAAACGAATCCATTGCCTGCAGCCAGACAACATGATTAAAAATGAACAACAATAGAAAATAGAGCTGGGACATTTTCTTAGAACAGCAATGCTTTTGTATGAGAGTAATTGTTTCATGGTTCTTGTCACACAATAATGAGTAGGGTTCAAGCTGCTGCTTTGAAAAGAGAAAGTGTCCCCTTGGAAGACGAGAAGTCAGACAAATTGGACGCGTTTTTTTTTTTTTTTTCTCCCTGCAGTCTTTCAACTGTGCTCCGATTTCCACATCACAGGCTCTCCTGGAGATCACACACGGCAGGAGCACATTTCTTGGCATCAGCAGGGATTTTTATCAGTTAATGTGAAGTCATTTTGCTCGCTTTCTGAAATAACTTTTAGGCAAGTTAGTACTTGTCAAAGACTTGAGAATTACTGACAGAAATTATGCTGTGGTATCTTTGTAGAGATAATTATTGTACAAGTGCAATGAGTCAATCTCAATGAATGTAGAGTTCAAGGAACACAATGAAGTACACATTTGTTTGATCAAAAATAGAGTAAAAAAATGATGACTGTTTTCAATTTTGTTTTTGAATTTTCAGCATCATTCCCATCTTCAGTGTCACATGATCCTTCAGAAATTATTCTAATGTACAGTTTTGGTGCTCAAGGAACATTGCTCATTATTATCAATGTTGAAAACAGTTGTGCTGCTTAACGTTTTTGTGGACACTGATACATTTTTCTCAGTATTCTTTGATAAATAAAAAATTCAAAAGAACAGCATTTATTTGAAATAGAAATAGTTTGTAACATTAATAAAAGTGATGCTGTCTTTTCAAAAAACAACAACTTTTGAATGGTTGTGTATATTAAACATTAAATGATGAGTATCTTTTAGCTTTGATATCTCTGTATTTCTAAATTCTCTTCCTTAAAGGGTTCATGTGAAAATGTCTCTGGCATGTCTGTTTGTCTTCCATCTCTCCTTCAGTCAGGAAGTCAAATACAAAGAAAAGAGAAAAAATATGTCTTGTTTTACAAATTGAAAGTGACATTTACTTATAGTCAGATTCCTTCTTCACACCATAATTGCCACGTGACACAATATAAGTCAACAACTATACTGCAGGATGAACGTGATGTCAGTTTTACAGAGCTGTGTCAGGTTCCTCTATGTTTTAGATGTTCACATTTGCACATTGTAATATGTAGTGCGTAAACTGTTTGCTTAAACCACATGATTTGAATAAATGCCAGTTTGCTTAAGCGTCTGATTAACTCTTTCTCTTTTTTTGCAATGCCAGATGCAAAGCAAAGAAGTACAACATCCGTGGTCTGCCTACAACATCAGTGGTCATAGCATTTTACAATGAGGCCTGGTCCACTTTACTAAGAACCATCCACAGTGTGCTGGAGACGACGCCAGCCGTCCTACTGAAGGAGGTCATTCTCGTGGATGACTTCAGCGACAGAGGTGACGTGACACTTTCTAGACGACTTCACGTTTTTAAATAAAAAAAATCCACTAGTTTAAAACTACTTTTGAATTATTTAGGTCCTTTTCCACTATAGAGGAAAATTTGTCTCATCCTGATTGGTCAGCTCTTCCACAACCAATTAATATCTAAAGAATATGTAAGCAAGAAAAGTTTTGAACCCATTAGGTGAAAATGTATTGCCTGGTTACGCCAAAAATGAGAACTATAAAGATAACTATAATTTTTCATTTGAAAAATATATTAGTGAATAATATTTTACCATGCACACCAACAGACAATTACATTCTGTTTATTCTATGTGCATTCTGCAGTTGTGTTGTCTATCACTTTAAATGCTCAATCTGATGAATATTGATTGGCTGCCCGTCAGTGATTTTGTCATTCATCAGGAAAAAATTGTTCTGAAATGATTCCATCAATATCGTTATCATTATAGTCATTATGTGGACTGGACTGCCCTATTCTCATAATGAGAACGATTAATACAACTTTTTGTTATATCTATCATCCTTGGTGTGAACAGGCTTCAATAAAACCTTATTACGTTTCATATTACTTTTAAGTTGGGCTGTCAAACGATTAATTGCATCCAAAATAAAAGTTTTAGTTTACATAATTTATGTGTGTGCACTGTGTATAATTATTTTGTATATATATAAATACACACACATGCATGTATATTTAAGAAAAAAATATGATTTATATATAAAATATTTATATATAATTTAAATTATATATAAATCTATATACAGTATATACATGGATAATAATAAAATAATTATACACAGTGCACCCACATATATTATGTAAACACGAACTTTTATTTTGGATGCGATTAATCGCGATTAATCGTTTGACAGCCCCACATTTAAGTACTGTTTATTACGATATAAAAATCACAATTTTCAACATGCCTAAATTGCATTGAAATATAGTCACACATTCACTCATGTTTGCATATTTCATGCTTCCTCTTCAAAGTTCTGGATAGTAAGGTAGCCATAGTTATGATTCCATATGAGTTTTTATATTAGCTGAGATCCAAATGTGTTTATTAGTTAATCAGTTGTTTTCCAGTGATTTGGACTTTATGTGTTGGATCCTGATAAAGAGATGCAAAATTTTCTTTGCATGGATTACAGTGTACCTGAAGTCACAGCTGGCTCAGTATGTCAGTAACCTGGACCGTGTTCGTCTCATTCGCACCAAAAAAAGAGAAGGTCTGGTTCGGGCACGGCTCATCGGCGCCACCTACGCTACAGGACACGTGCTTACCTTCCTTGACTGCCACTGTGAATGTGTGCCTGGCTGGATCGAGCCACTGCTGGAGAGGTGTGACCTAAAATTCAATTCAAGTGTAGCATAGAAACATTCGCATAATCCACAGTAACAGGTTTGTCAAGTGTATTAGCCAGGGAAATGCACATTTTATATCATCTTTTCTCGTCTTTCTGTCGTCAGAATTGCTGAGAATGAGACCACCATCATATGTCCAGTTATTGACACCATTGACTGGAACACATTTGAGTTCTACATGCAGACAGATGAGCCGATGGTGGGCGGCTTTGACTGGAGGCTGACATTCCAGTGGCATGGAGTGCCTGAAATCGATCGCAAGATACGCAAATCCAGAATTGACCCCATTAGGTTGGTTTCTGGTCAACTATCTCTTGGAAATTTAAGAAAACGGATTATAAATGTTTAAAGGGATAGTCGACCTCACCTGTATTTCGTTTTAATTGTTATTTATTAAGTTATTTCAATTTTTTCAAGCACATTTTATTTATTATTTAATAATTTTAAATAAAAATAATGTATTATTTATTCTGTGGAACACAAAAGGAAGGAGTAATTGACAATTTTACTATATTTGACAATACTACTATTTATATATTTTTTGTTAGTTTATTGATCCATATTGGATATTTATATGAGCTGATATTGCATATTTCATTGTTTGTACTCGTTTCCTCTATTTTTACGTTTAGATTTGCTGTCATTTAACGCTCACTTAAAGTTAATATTTAAAATCTTTTAATGAATTTATTAAATGTAATACATTTCATAACACATAAACATTTCAAACATTTAATTTCATTTCAGGGATAGTTCACTGAAAAATCTATTATATATATATTTTTTTTTTCATAAACTAATCCATAAGAATTGAGGGGTTTAGTCCAAATTTTCTGAAGAGAGTCTATCACTTTGTAATGAACAAATTTAATTTAGGCTTTTATACACATAAACATTGATAAAAGGACATACGTAAACAGAAGGAACCAAACCTGCTGCAAAGCATGAGAATGAAGTTCAATGAACCTCAATGGTTCTCGCACATCAAGCGTACATGCTTGAGCGTCCGTTTACCACAACTGATGGTATGCGAGTTGATGAATGTTTATATGTGAATAAACGCTCAATTGAATCTGTTCATCATATAAAGTGATTGTGTCTCATAAGAAAATCTGGATTCATTTATGAACACTATGAACTTTTGAAGTGTCAAAATGGAGGGAGCGAAAATCTCTCAGATTTCATTAAAATATCTTCATTTGTACTTCAAAGTTGAACGAATTTTTATAACAAAAAGAGGGTGAGTGAAGGATGATAGAGTTTAAATGTTTGGGTGAACAGTTATTTCTCTTACTGTACATTCTTATGAAGTCTATAATTGATTTTATTTAGACAAAATAGTATAGACATTTAATATTGGCATTCAGCCATATTATCATTATTATAAACTGTTTTTTATTCATTATTAAAGTTTAATTTTGGTGCTTTCCTAAATTAAATTATTTTGAAAGTCTGAGGCTTTTAAATTTAACTCTCGCTTTAAGCCATCCAGATTTCCAGTAAATCTTTTTGAAAATTATTTTCACAAGGAAATGTGTAATGTGTTGATAAACCACAGTGCGGTGAAAAAGATTTAATTTTCAGACCTAGGTTTACATTAAAATACTGTCCAGTTCTGCTCTAGATTTCTCTCCAGGCTCATCTGAGGGCAGACCCAGAGGTGCTCAACTGAAACTAAGAAGCACTTACCTGCAGGGGAGTATCTCTGATGAATTACCAATGATCTGCTGCTTTTCGCTTCACAGGTCTCCCACTATGGCAGGGGGGCTCTTTGCCGTCAGCAAGGCTTACTTTGAGTATCTGGGCACTTACGACATGGGCATGGAGGTCTGGGGAGGAGAGAATCTGGAACTTTCTTTCCGGGTAAGACACCTGTATACTGTGCTCCTGCTACCTATTGTACTGGTAATTTGCATATGCTTCTCATCAGAGCATGTCAACTGTTGACGGGCTCTTGGTAGCATGAGACTGAGCATTTATAATTAGACATCTCTCTCATATTGGATTTCTTTTTTTAGCCTATGCTTAGAAATGAAGATTGATGGTTAATACCATGGAGTAATCATTTATGCATTTGGAAACCGAATACAACGCTCTATCTTCTAGGGCTGTACGTTGTTCATGTATAATAAATGTGCTGTGAATCGGAATAAAAAAGCATGTGGGAAATAAAGCTGGAAAATGCCTAAAAAATGAATTTTGTCGGCGTCTCGTCGGATCTAATGCGCTGTTGTCATGTTTTATTTCTGACAGGCAGTGCATTGCATTAAAATCAGATACTGTGTTCACAAGAAAATGTTGAGTTTGTGTGCAAAAATAGCATGCGAGATGAGTCAAATCTCCATAAACAAATAATGATGCTCTAGAAATAAATTCTTGTGGGTTTAAAAATGAAATGTGAAATTTTTAATGTTAAAATACTTTATCATATTTTATTATAATATGCAGAACTATATACAAGTCAATTGTAGGTGTGTTTTTCCCACATAGCATATACATTGATCTGTTCTGGCATCCTAACCATATTGAAAACAATGATTTTTGCCATCCATTATTTATTTAATCCATTAATAATTTAATCCATTATTTATATATTTAGTAATTCTTTTTTTCTTAATATTTAGTGGTACAGGTTATATAATTAACTTTATTTTAATTATTAATAAGGTGATTTACAATGTTGCATTATTTGCTATTTATTTATTACTTTATAGATTATTATATTTGTTCAGAATTTCACTTTACAATTTTTAATAATGGAAAACCATGTACAATGTCTTTTTTTAATGAGAAATTCATTTTGATTCTTGCTTCATTTTGAACATGTTTTGTTACAGGTGTGGCAGTGTGGAGGGTCTTTAGAAATTCACCCATGCTCCCATGTGGGTCACGTTTTCCCCAAGAAAGCGCCCTACTCCCGATCCAACTTCCTTCAGAACACTGTCCGTGCTGCGGAGGTTTGGATGGACTCTTACAAACAGCACTTCTATAACCGAAACCCACCTGCACGCAAGGTACACATCCATCTATCCATCCATTCACCCAGCATAACCTGTCAGTGGGCGGCACCTCTTTATTAACATCCTGTGTTGCTGCATAATTAGTGGTGTACAACCGTTGTGTTATTTCCTCAGCGTTTATCTAGAAAAGTGCTGTTCTCAAAATTGCTTATGTACTCCTGTGACTGTGAAAAAAAACTGTGAAAGAGATAAATGATGCTCAGGTTTTGCTTGAATGCGTTCGTTCTCTCGGCTTACAGTGTTTGTTCTTCCTTGGGCTGTCTTTGAAAAGCTTATTAGCTGACAAAGATATTAAAACTAGGCCAAACATATATTATATCACCCTGGCTGACATGAACGTGGCATGTAACTCCATATTACTTCACAAACAAATTACATTATTAATGTGATCAAATAATAAGTCATTCTCTGGTAGCCACAACACCAGATGCAATGAGTACGAATATTTGTCCTGTCAATATATGGCTGTCTTGAGTTGCTCGTGTACCTCAGGTCTGAATGCAAACACACCCTTTTCATACCTGTCTGAGGTGTTACCTAAATGAATATTATCTTGTTTACCTGGTTAGGTTTCTTTGACTTTTAGTTTGTTGAAAGTGTGTCGTGACTCGTGGCAGTTGTGTCAACATTATAGAACGGCGCCCTTGAGTAAGTACATACGTGGCATTCTTGATTTGATATCTTTGAAGAACTAAAATAAAGATATTAAAAAGTTATTAATATCAGTAAAGATGATTAAAAAATCGAATGGATAAAGCAGAAAGGTTTTAGTGTCAGAAAAGCTTCTTGTTCTTGTTTGTTTATTTGATAGGGACAAAGCAAGTTAATGAACCTTTAAACAAGCCAGATTATAGCAACATTGCTAATTTACAGCCACAGTCCCTAGGCAGGTACACACAAGAACAAATACTCAGCTATGCATACAACATTACAAAGAGACAATACCCCAAACACATTAAAAAAATGTCTTACAGAAATGTTTACACATCTGATTCGTACACACGCCACTTCTTTAGATGATCTTTAGAAGTGTGATAAGTAGAACATTGTCTTATTGACTGCAGATAACTATTACAGATAATGCATGTGGTCTTGACTTGTGGTCGTTTCTACATAGATTTCAGTTAGTAATCTGGAAACTTTGTCTTGATGCCTGATTTTAATTGGCTCTTGTAGGAATCTTACGGAGATATATCTGAAAGGATTGTACTGAGAGAGCGGCTTCAGTGTAAGAGCTTTGAATGGTATCTGAAGAACATCTATCCCAGCCTGCATGTGCCAGAGGACAGGCCTGGATGGCACGGAGCGGTAAGTGACTGATCTAATCTAGTCTAATCTAATCTAATTCCTTCTGGAGTTTCTTTTTGTTGTCATTATTACAATTCTTTCCTGGCTCCTGGTGCAGGTGCGTAGTGCTGGAATCCACTCTGAATGCCTGGACTACAATGCCCCGGACCACAATCCCACAGGAGCTCACCTGTCCCTGTTCGGCTGCCATGGTCAGGGCGGTAATCAGGTAACTAACATCAATATTAACGCTTTTGTGGAGAAAAAAAATATTATTTGGAAAAAATAGCTATTAAAAAATCTGTTTTTTCAATTTTCATTGTTTTGTTGAATAATAAAAAGCATAAAGTCATCAAAAAACATGTCACTAGGGCAGGCCCACATTGTTATTGCAAAATACATTAATAAAACATTAAAAAAAAAAACATTTTAATGATGGAAATGGTCTTTTAAAATATCCCCAAAAATAAATGAATACATAAAAACTACTGCTTTGAATATGATATTTATGTAATATTTAAGTCATACTTTTACTATGTTACTGGTTTATACAGCCAACCTATAAATGTTTTTATAAAACGGTTAGTTCGAATCCTTGATTCTGATTGGTCAAGAGCTGTGCTTTATTCACGATAAAACACGGCTATGACCGCTTCACCCATCGGTTCTATTGATCGCTGCGCAACACTGCAGTTCTATGTTGTTTTTATTTGAGCTTTCATGCATTTTACACATTGGAACGTTGTTGCTGTTCACGCTCAGGGACTATTTTTTCTAGCGGAAGGAAGGCTTTTAGTGATTTTACTTCGAGAAAGTTGCACTAATACATGTTTTTTTACTTTAATATTGTGTGGCAACCATTTTATAAAGGTACATACAGCACAGCCTCTCGTACCTTGCTTACATATTTCACCAACAAATTGGAGTAGAAGTATAATTTAATCATTAAAAAGTGAATGTAAAAACAAATATTTTTTGTTTAACTAAATTTAATGAATTAATTGATTGTTTAATAAATTATTTTCATTTTCCGAAATTTAAAATTTCAGTGTTAATTAAAGAAAGTAATTAAAAAGTAGCATTAAAGGCACAGTATGTCATTTTTACCAATAGAGGTTGCATATTCAAAACAATTACAAAGGCATAGCTTTATGACGCTGTGAAGGAACGGGGAATGAGGGGAGTTGTCGTCTTCATCTTAATGCAAAAAATCGTACATACTGTGCCTTTAATACAGTTATATTTAAAAAAAATAAAAAGTAATTTCACTTGTCATTTTCAGCCAAGACCAAGAGGATATTGAATTTTCGGTTTCGGCCCAAACCTTTAATTTCGGTGCATCACTACTTAAAACCATGTAGAAAGTGGTGACGACGAAAGAGTTCTCACATTTTCACTGCGTTTGCAGTGAAACAAAGCTAGCTTTATTTGTGCAGAAACATAATCCATCCTGAGATGTGCTGCCCTTCTGAGGTTTGTTATTTATCTAGTATCACAGTCGAAGAAGTGAATGAGTTGCTGGGGATGTATATGTAATGGAAAGGGCAACCTGCAAATGTGTCCAGTGGCTTATGTCACCGCTCTGCATCAAGGGACATGGTGAAGTAGCACCATGTGTGAGTGAAAATCAATGTTTCCACATCCTGGACTGAAAAGGGAAACCTTATCCACTTCTCCTCAAAGATAGACATCTGTATGAAATATACATGTGGCTAATGAGACTAATGCTGACTGCAGTTTGAACCAGACAGAGATCACATCTGTCCATCTGATAAACACTGGACTGGATTATTAACTAAATAGCTGGACCTTTTAGTTTCTTCCACCCTATTTTATTTTCTTATTAATCCAGCATTGTAACCTTTACCCTCAAAGGATCTACTTCTGATCCTCTGCTTCAAGAAATTGTTTGCTTATGAATTATTAACCGGGATTTGATTGTTAGCAGCAGCCGTGCAAACATCCGTATTTGTTTGGGGGCCAAGCAGTGTGTGTGTATACTGTATACACTCACCTAAAGGATTTTTAGAAACACCATACTAATACTGTGTTTGACCCCCTTTCTCCTTCAGAGCTACCTTAATTCTACCTGGCATTGATTCAACAAGGTACTGAAAGCATTCTTTAGAAATGTTGACCCATATTGATAGGATAGCATCTTGCAGTTGATGGAGATTTGTGGGATGCACATCCAGGGCACGAAGCTCCGGTTCCACCACATCCCAAAGATGCTCTATTGGGTTGAGATCTGGTGACTGTGTGGGCCATTTTAGTACAGTGAACTCATTGGAACTCAAGGGATGGACATGGTCAGAAACAATACTCAGGTAGGCCGTGGCATTTAAATGATGCCCAATTGGCACTCAGTGGCGTAAAGTGTGCCAAGAAAACATCCCCCACACCCTTACACCACCACCACCAGCCTGCACAGTGGTAATAAGGCTCAAAATTTCTTAAATCACCTTTCTTTCCCATTCGGACATTCAGTTTGGAGTTCAGGAGATTGTCTTGACCAGGACCACACCCCTAAATGCATTGAAGCAACTGCCATGTGATTGGTTGATTAGATAATTGCATTAATGAGAAATTGAACATTTGTTCCTAATAATCATTTAGGTGAGTGTATATAAACACTTTTCACATGTGTGTGAAAATTCATTAAAATTGGCTATTTGGACTCATTAATGGAAATTAATTACACTCTTACACCATCACCATGTATTAAAACTCACAAAAGCCAAAGAAATGTGCCAAATTACATTTTTGTTTCTCTCTCTATCTCTCAGTACTTCGAGTACACATCTCAAAAGGAGATTCGATTTAACTCCGTGACCGAGCTGTGTGCTGAAGTCCAGGATGGATTGACACAAATCGGGATGAAGCATTGCCCACAAGACGGTGCTCCCGTTCCTCCCGGCATCGTGTGGGAGTTCAGAGACGTGAGTCTGTTGGCCTGTAGCTCATTTCATCACTGTCGTGCTCAGAAAACAGGAGGAGATAAGACCAAACCTTGTTTGACATGTTATTGCGTACCAGATATGCTTTCCTGTAGTATTTCCATGCCTAAAACAATGATTGTCTGGCAACTGTGTCTTTTCAGGATGGCAGCATATATAACCCTCATTCAAACATGTGCATCACGTCCTATCGCAAAGAAGATGGCCGTACTGATATCCAGATGAGAAGTTGCTCTCCCGGAGACAAACACCAGCGCTGGAACTTCGAGTGACTTTAATCCTTATGTGAACTTAAATGTAAGTGCAATTATCAAAAGGAACGTCTTTTCCGTTTAAAAAGGCATAAAAATGGGACCCATCCTCCAGATAGTGCCTTTGCAAACCAAAGCGGACATATATTTGTAGTGCCAATTCTTACGTTTCCTTGTCAGAGACGTTCAGCGTCCTATTACAAGTCTGAAGTGCATTTTAGAACTGATAATATCACATTGTAGCAAATTCAACCATCCAACGAACATAGTGTTGTTGTGTTGGAGCAGCTTTTTTTGTTTACATTGATGCACTATATGCATTTTAGTGAATCATTTTTAGACTCGGCAGTAGATCATCTTTAAATCTACTCCACAGTGATTTTATTTAATTGTACCAGAAGTGACTGATTTGAAGATGTTGTGAATGGGTTTGTCTCGATTGTTGCTTATTGGTTTCCTACGGTATTTTTTTGTGTCTGTTTTCTTTTCTATTTTTATATTGTTAGGGTATTTAGGGTCTTTTCACCTTATTTTGAGCAAGCTTCATGGACGATTTTGGCACACTGGTGTTGATGGAACTGTACAAGCATTTAAACTAACGTCAGTGTTCAAATACGGTAGTTTAAGTACGTACACTTCATTTTGAAGTAGATTACAGGAACTGCATTTTAGAGTTGGAACAAAATATTAAGCAATAGCTTGTCGCGAAAAGCAGATGGAGGGCAGGAAGTGATTTTCTACATTAGGACACACTCAAAATGCCTATGTTTTGCGTCGTTTATGGTTGCTCAAATCGATCAAACCACGAGGAGTTTTTATCGTGTGCACAAAGTTGTTGTTCATAAGGGGGGAAAATACAAGAAATTGACCGGGAAAAATGCCTTGCAAACCTACGTCTGCGGTCGGGAGGAGCCGAATGGGAAAATGCCTGTGTGTGTGTGCAGTGATCACTTTGTCAAATGTGAGTTAATACATTATTTATGTGGCTTATAATTACATTATTCAGGTGTTTAAATACACGTATGTGGCTGTTCGTGTAACGTACCAGTTTCCGAACTTTGTAAAGTCAAAGTATGTCTGTAAGACGAGTTAGTTGCTGATATCTACAGCCTCGATGGCAGGCAAATCTCTCAATTCAGTTGAAAATCGTCCCTCTTCATAACGTAAGGATCACGTCCAACATATGTTTCTCTTGTAATAGCGTCTAAAGTAGTACAGTACGGATTTTCCTCCATCTCGTCCATTGCGTTCTTCACTCCTTGCCCTCCATCAACACAATCACGTGACTGCAAACCACCAATTATGGACCAAACTTTTCAGATCTCGCATGTTTTTCATTGGCCTGAACCCATTTTATCTTGCATTTGAGAACCATGTTTTTCTCTACGACCTATTTGGTAATTTTGTCCACTTTACCTATGAATTGTTTTCCTTGAAAAAAAATGTATAGTAGGTAATTTATTGACTCAACAGAAAGTGCCTCTTCAGCCTGGTTCCTTTCACAAAAGTGCACATTTATCTTCACAAATCAGAGTGTTACAGTACTTTACCATGATACTGGCCAAACAATCAGAAAATGAACAAAGTGCTTTTATCACGGGTCTTCCAGCATTCAAAACTCATCGGTAAATATCTTGAAAGTGCTATATCGGAAATGACTGTAAATGGAAAACACCTTTATTTTTGCACTACAATGGATTTAAAATGGCAACATAAGTTTTTAGGTCTCATCCTTTGTAATTGTCAGTGAATCAAATGGTTTAATAGGGATTGTGGGGAAGTGATCATGAAATTACTACTGATAAAGCACAGTTTGTGGTGATCATGTGTTTTGCTTATCGACTGTAATGAAGTATTTTTGGAACATGGAGAAAAAAGGTGCAAAGTATTTTTTGTCTGAATAAATTAAATTAAAGTTCTAGATGTTACATTTGTTGTTGTGGTGGTTTGTTTATTTTAACAGTGTGGCTTTTCCTTGGCTTTCTGTTGCTGTGCCATCTAGTGGTGGGGAAATGTGCCGCGGGATTAGACTCAAAATATTTCCGTAATTTTATAGCATTATAATGCATGCAGTAAAATAAAGGTGTTCCCTTCACAGTTTTACATTTGTGACCTGAGCCTCTTTACAAACCAGATAATGAGGAAACCACAAAGGAGGCTCTGCCAAGTCAGGCTGAAATGTTTAATGGCACAATCTCCAGGTGTATCACTCACGCAATTACATAAATGAAGCTGGAGGTCACTGAACATTGTCATCATCATCATCTACAGCACGCATAAATTCATAAATCCTATGACTTATGGTTGGATTGTGGGTAGCTAGTGCATGATGAATACTCTTAAATGGAAGCTGTCATCTTGTTGGACCTCTGAGAGTCTTTGTTATCTGCCATCTTACACATCACATTTCCCTAAAGGTCATGCAGTGGTAGTGCAAACAATTCGATTTTTCTTTATTTAGATTTGGCCTGTTTGTTATTAAAGTCACCATGAAATCAAAATCGACAATTCTTTATTTTTTTTAATGGAATATTGCTGTATTTATTATTAGTGATTTATCCGTCATGTGCCCTTGTGATCCCTCACTCTTACAGCGACATATCTTCTCTGATGAATATATCAGCCTATATTTTACATCAGTGGCTGATTGGACATGTTAGAAAAGCTATTCTACACGGCTCTGTGTTCATCCGTGGTAAATGACTGTGCAGCATTGTGTGCAGTGTACCATAGGTTATTACAACACAATAAGAGTGTTCAATCAAAAAAGTGTGGCACTCAGATTACCATCTCACCTCTCTGATGGCCTAATCAATAATTAAACATTAATTTGGGTATTCATATTTTGCTTGCTACATGGAACATCTTACATGTTTATTATAAAAATGTTTGTACGAAGTGAATGGAGTCATGGTAGGGGGAGGCAAATATCACAATATTTCTATGGGTGTATATTAGACTAAGCCCTACCAATATTTCTAATTATTCTGCTATTGTATGCAAGTTTAGTGTCATGTTTTCTCGTAATACTTATTAAAAATGTGTTTAGTTACTTAATACTTAAAGGGATACTCCACTTTTTTTGGGAAACAGGCTCATTTTACAACTCCCTCAGAGTTAAACATTTGAGTTTTACCGTTTTTGAATCAATTCAGCCGATTTTCTGATATTTCGAAGAATATCAGTAACCAGACCATTTCTGGTCTCATTGACTTCCATAGTAGGAAAAAATATATACTATGGTAGTCAATGAGACCAGAAACTGTCTGGTTACTGATATTCTTTTAAATATCAGAAAATCGGCTGAATGGATTTGAAAATGGTACTCTGAGGGAGTTGTAAAATGAGCCCATTTCCAAAAAAAGTGGAGTATCCCTTTAATACTTATTAAAAAAGTCATTTATTAATTAATTATAATTTCATGCCATCAAGAAGAGAAGCCCAATAAAACTGCTTTCTTAAAATGGGAATTTAAGTATAATTCACTTTCTTTCAAATTTTTTGGCTGCTAGATGCTGAGTCAACTCACAAATGCAGACCTACAGGAAAACATTAATACATAAGATTGTTCTACATTTTATCAACAACTACAATCTTACTTAAAACCACTAGTTTGGTGAATTATTTATAAGACTATGTCTATGATAATTTGCATCAGGTCACTATATAAACTTTATAACTGTATCATGATTTTAACCATTTCAGGCACAAATAATGTTCAGAGACTATCAATAAGCTTCATTTCATAAAAAAAAAAATGTTTTAGGAATATTTGACTCATTTGATGTCCTGTACAGTGAACGCTGTTCCGACACTAGCAAGATATATGGATTTAATTAATGCAAAAAAACATGAAGAAACAACAATGCACATAATATTGCAAAAATTGTGGGGGAAAATTATGTCAACAGGAATGCACAAATAAATATTTACGTATAACTGAATTGCATGACAATGCACAGTATGCAACTAAAATATCTTCAAACTCCCGAAGAAACACTGGCTTAATGAAAAGAAAGTGCTAAGAAAGAAAAAGAAAGGGGCTGTTTGTTAAATGCAAATGAGTTATTATTATTTAAATCATACATTTTTTCCATGTATTCAGTAATGATGTGTGTGTGCACTCTTGTGCGCATATCTTGGCAGAACAGTGTTTACAGAGAGGACGTGCACTAACTGGATTTGGATTAGCGCTCTGTCACAGTGTGTGACCCCTAAGAGTCTGTGATTTGACCTGGATTTTTTTCTTTATGCCTCTTCCAGTTCTGCTGGCCTTATCTGACAAACAAGCCTGCTAATGTGATCACGCAAATCCCTCTTGCAGTGATCAGACCTGTGGGATGTCTATCCCACTGTATAGCTGTGGCTCAAAACCAGTAATGTTGGCATACATCTATCTAAAAAAAGACGAATTCAAAAGTGTTCATTGTATTTCCCCAAAACTACGTATTAAAAGATGTATAAACCTGCAATTGGTTTTCTTACAGGTCATATGGGGGCATTGACATCAGGGATAAAAGAAAGATCCTAACCAAAGAAAAATTTCCCCTATTGCTGATTTAAAGTGGAAGCATTACCCCTGTTTTTTCCCCCCCAAAGAAATGTATCTTTATAAATAAATATGTAATTCCAAACAAAGAAACTCACTTAAAAAAAAAATTATAAATCAATATTGTCTCTTCAATTAGTTTATTGATAAGTTCAAGAAAGGGTTTGTTCTTTCTTTAGAAACAAATTGAAACTTATTTTAAAGTTTATATTACATTATTTATTATATTTATACTAAATCATTGATCTCAATATTTCAAATTAAAGTCACCATAAAATCAAAATTGACTATTCTTATTTTTTACAGAATATTGCAGTATTTATTATGAATGAGTTGTGCTATTACTCTTGTAATCTTGAATAATAATAAAAAAAACGACCCAATTTTTTTTTATTTTAATGAATTAAAAAAAAATGATGTGCACAGATAAATCATTAAAATAGTAGCTGCAAAATTCTAATAGGGCCTATATATATTTCATGGTGTCTTTAATAATGACATAAAAGTAATATGACATAGGCTATAGCCTACAAGTCATATTAGAATAAAAAATAGAAATTATGTCAACAGGACAGAATTATGACATAGTCTATTCATTTGAAATGACACATTCGAAATTATGACTTTCTGCTATAATTTTACTTCTTATGTCGTAATTTCGAGTCAAAATATCAAAAATATTCAAAAATGTCGTTTAAAGTCATAATTTCGAGTTTGCATCTCATAATATAATTTAGTATATCATAATTTCGACTTTTCATCTCATTATGATTTACAAAAGCACATTTTTTTTGTATGTGGCAAAATGGGCTTCCAACAACTCCTCCCCCTGCAACCGGCTCTGTTCGCCCTTCATGTCGTTCACATATATTCACACACACACAATTCAACAAGTTGGTTTGCCACAGATGAAATGACCAACTTTCTCTTTGCTTAGATAGTTTCCCCTTCACTGTAGTCGTCTTTAAAATGAAAATTGGCACCTTGAAAACGATATCCTCAAACATGGGCGAACTTTTTTCGAACTTTTCATGAGATTGAACTTTGGATAACAAACAGTTTGAGGGAAACAGGACGGACTAGAAGGACACATTATGGCAATATGTGGCAGACGGAGTCGGTCGAAGTTAATTCTGTACGTTCTCGGTGCTTTTGTAGTGGGATATTTAGTGTTTCATAGGAACACGCAGAGTGATGTCGGCCTGGCCAGTCGAAGAGAAGTGGCAGTCGAGCAGCGCGAAAATGTGGACGAAGATTTACTGAAGAAACCGGTTTACGAGAAGCCTCCTTTAGACGCAAATGCTTTGGGGGAGATGGGTAGAGCTGTTAAACTTGACCTGACTGAAAAAGAGAAACGAGAGGAAGAGGAGAGCATCAAAAAGCATCAGATAAACACTTATGTGAGCGATAAAATATCACTTCACCGCAGACTGCCTGAAAGATGGAACCCACTGTAAGTCTCCATGCTGTACACGGATGTTTTAAGTTTGTTTTGATATTCAGCCACAACAGGTCATTAACTCTTTGATATAAATGTATTAGATTGATTTATTTGAATATAGCATTAGAATGCAGAAGAGGATACAGATTGTAGTTTATTGTTTAAATCTGCTTCGATTCATTGCAAAACAGGGAAGTTGTAAATGTTTTTGTAAACAGTCCCTATCTTTGCCCCAGTGTTTAATGTGCGATTACAGATAGAGAACGTCTACAAAGTACCAGAGGAGGAGAAAAACGTGCAATATGGTCACATCTCGAGGTGCAGTTTGCAGTTGGCCTTACTCATCTCATATAAATGATGCATAGTTTAAAATAAAAACATATCCAAAATCTAAAGGGGGTGTTATTTCTATTTGGACAAAAAACAGCAACAACAACAAAAATACTATTGAAATGTTAAAATAATAAATAAAATCCACAGAAGTCTTTTTTTTTTTTTTTTTCGGAACAAGGACCCGAACCCTAATTACAAAATGAATATAGAAAATAGTTTGAAGTGACCAGTGGCCCTTCCCAAATCCAAATGGTGTTCATTATTATAGCCAGTTAGAGCAGCGGCAAAAGGCACTCCTTTTTCCGAGACAATATTCAAAGTTAATTTGTAACTATTAGTTATATCCTAAGTTAATATGTACCTCTGGCACATCTGTTGTAATAAAACCAATTAACAAAAATGTCAGTTTAACGTTGCACATCTTTTATAGATATATTATGTTAATATAACTCGATTCAAATAATTTTAAGATTTACTGAGGCCCCCTAGTGAGCTCCGGTCCCCTGGTTGAGAACCCATGACAAAGAGGAACATTCTGCAATTGGTTTTAACATAATAGGTTCAAAATTTATGTAACTCATTTGATCAAGCTGACTCTTTGGTCGTGTTTTTAATGTGTTGGGTTTATTGTTTGCATCATATCATATTTGTTAAATGTAGCCTTCAATGATTTACAATGATAATTAGGCTTGAACAGATGCATCTGTGGTGGTTATTTTATTTATGTATTTTTACTTTTTAATTAAAATGTTTGTTTCTATCTTTATATGCAATGCTATATTTTTGTACCTGTCTCTGTGCAGCACTCCGATAGCAAATGCATTAACATAAAAACATCCTGCAGTTACTGTGCATATTTGTTTATGAAAATGCTACTGTAAACATGAATGCTATCTGGCGATGTACAGCACCAAGCAAGCATTAACTAACACGATCTGTCTATTCAGATGTAAAAACCTGAAATATGACTACCTGAGCCTGCCCACGACGTCGGTAGTGATAGCCTTCTACAATGAAGCCTGGTCCACACTTCTGCGGACAGTGCACAGTGTCCTGGAGACCTCGCCTGACCTGTTGCTGACTGAAGTCATACTGGTGGATGACTACAGTGACCGAGGTATCAGTCTGAATGGAAACTTCTCATGCAATCTTTGAGCATGGGATTGTCAAAAGATCATATGTATTAAAAGTTAACCATATTTGGATGAACTTGGAACATTTTTGACTTGAGACTGGAAGGAAGTGGGAACCACCAAGAACAAGATCCTAGTTGCAACCACTTAGCAAACAGCTAAAATAACTGCCGTAGATGACACTATATCATAAAGTTTTTATCATAAAGTGCAAACACCTCTCACATTTTATTTTCTTACATATTTTGTTTCTTTAGTGAAGTCTGTTTGCTGAAGAATGGTGAGCTTAACAGATGTTTTTTTTTCTTTCCATAACAGGGAACTGTTGATGACAATGGACCAGGTTTATTAGCATTAACTAAAACTAAAGATATGAAACATTTTTAATAATTGAAATAAAATAAAATATGATTATTAAATGAAAATTAGAAATGTTGATTGGCAATAAAATAAAATAAGTTTAAGCTGAAGCACTAGAATTATTATCTGGAAATATATAAAACTAAAATTGAAATAAAAATAAATAAAACCTAAATAGCAATATTTAATGAATAAATAAAAATGACAAAAGCACATAGTGAAATTACAAAAAATGTAACTAAAATTAACATTCATTTAAAAAAAAGCTAGTTCAAAACATTAATAAAACTTAAATAACACTGCAATGGACAAAATATTTTCTTTTTACATGAGTAAATCATATAGACGTTTTTTAAAGTTAATAGAAAAAGATATACATATATAAATGTGACCATAAAATATGCAATATGTATAAATAAACATAAAAATAATAATTATATTAATAACAAATAAAAAATGCACACAAATAAATAAATAAAAAATAAACGATGGCTTTACCCAACTTATTTCCTAGGCTAATATTCATGTGTCATAAATTTAACATTAACAAAAAAATAAATTAATTAATAAATAAAATCCTGTGTAAAACGACGCAGGATGTTAAAATAATAGTGTACATAAAAAAAGTATTTTAAAACAAAATAAATCAAAGATTTGAAAACTCATTCTTATTAATGAAATACCACAGCAACAACATCATCTCAGCTCCACCCTGTGGTGAAACCGCAAGTTGTTCCTTAATGCAAAAGCCAATTAGCATATTTCTGTCCTACGTTCTTGTTTCCTTTAGGACTGCAGCTGTTACTGAGCACTTCTCATGACTTTGATCCACAGATCATTTAAAGGAACCTCTAGAAAACTACATCGCCAATTTAAAAAAGGTGCGTCTGATCCGAGCAAGGAAGAGAGAGGGTTTGGTGCGAGCGCGTCTCCTGGGAGCTTCCATTGCCACAGGAGATGTACTGACCTTCCTCGATTGCCACTGTGAGTGCCATGAAGGCTGGTTGGAGCCTTTACTCCAGAGGTGAGACAGATAACCCTCTTTTTACAAACCCAAAACATGCAGTATTTTCAAAATGAGTGTATACATTTGCTCTTTAGCAAATATTGTTATGGCAAAATGCTTTCACGGTTAATTTTGCGTTTACATAGCATTTACATAGCAAAATTTGCATGCTTTTTTATTTGCTACATGTCACATCACAGTTTGTTTTATGAGAACTAATATTTATCTCCTTTTTTATCTTTAAATCTTGTAGAATTAAGGAGGAGCCTTCAGCTGTGGTGTGTCCAGTAATTGACGTCATTGATTGGAACACCTTCCAGTTCCTGGGAAACCCTGGAGAACCTCAGATCGGGGGATTTGATTGGCGATTGGTGTTCACGTGGCACACCATCCCAGAACATGAGCAGAAACGCAGAAGTTCTGCCACTGATGTTGTCAGGTCTGTGCTTCATGGTTGCACCTAAGCAGAAAACAATACTAAAGGAAACAGGTTTAATTTTTGGTCCTGTTCTAATTGAAAAACAATGCAATGTTGATATGTTCTAAATTAAGGTTGTTAGCTTTATTAAGCTTTGCCTCATTCATGAGGGTTAAAACAGGCTCTTCAGAGCAGTCGGCAGATTTTAAGATTTAATGCATTTTTTTATGGCCATATTTCAGGCATCAGAACTGTTAAGGTGAACATGGTCTCTTCTAATCAAATATCAACCAATATTAAACCCTGCCTATATGCTTTTCCTGGAATTTTGTTTGTTGCTTTGATGCAGGTCTCCTACAATGGCTGGGGGTTTGTTTGCAGTCGATAAGAAGTACTTCCTTTACCTTGGCACATATGACACGGGAATGGAGGTGTGGGGTGGAGAGAACCTGGAGTTCTCATTCCGAGTAAGTGCATTTTGTTGCTTTTTCTGAAACATTTTCCTCTAGATTCTCCCCAGATTTTGGCTTCCTGAGGGTGAAAAGCCTTTGGGCAGATGGTGACAATACTAGTTTGAAAACTGTGTGATGAGTCACACAAGGTTAGGAGGTCGCTCAGCGCCTTTATTAAGTGTCTGCCAGCAAGTATGATGACTAAAGCGACCTTCACTGTTAATGCAGCATTTACTTACTCATAATTCCTCTGATTACTCAGCTATTGCCCTGAAGGGTTCTAACACTGTTACATAGACAGTAATGGTTCATTTGAGTTTTGAGTGCCTTGAACGCCTTGGGATGTGTTTTAACCAGAATCTGGCAGGAAACATCACAAAGTCCAGACAGATGCACTTTCAATGCAATATGACAGATCAGCGTGTATCCTACTGTGTCCTGCAGTACTATGAACCATACCCCTACAAATTACACCCCTACTACAAGTTATACCTCTACTACAAGTTACACCTCTACTACAAATTACACCTCTACAAGTTACACCTTTACTACAAGTTACACGTCTACTACAAGTTATACCTCTACTACAAGTTACACCTCTACTACAAATTACAGCTCTACTACAAGTTACTACAAGTTATACCTCTACAAGTTACACCTCTACTACAAATTGCATCTCTACTACAATTTACACCACTACTACAAATTACAGCTCTACTACAAATTATACCTCTACTACAAGTTACACATCTACTACAAATTACATCTCTACTAAAATTTACACCACTACTACAAATTACAGCTCTACTACAAGTTATACCTCTACTACAAGTTACACATCTACTACAAATTACATCTCTACTACAATTTACACCACTACTACAAATTACAGCTCTACTACAAGTTATACCTCTACTACAAGTTACACATCTACTACAAATTACATCTCTACTACAGTTTACACCACTACTACAAATTACAGCTCTACTACAAGTTATACCTCTACTACAAGTTACACATCTACTACAAATTACATCTCTACTACAGGTTACACCTCTACTACAAGTTACATCTCTACTTACACCTCTACTACAAGTTACACCTCTACTACAAGTTACAGCTCTACTACAAATTACACCTCTACTACAAATTACATCTCTACTACAGTTTACACCTCTACTACAAGTTACACCTCTACTACAAGTTACATCTCTACTTGCACCTCTACTACAAGTTGCACCTCTACTACAAATTACACCTCTACAACGAAACAGCCAATTAGGGGATCTTATCGGGCGAATTCCATACAGCGTTTTTGCACTCTTGAAGTGCACTTCCGGAAGGGAATGCCATTTTTTGGGGCGTTCTAAAAGAAAGTGAACAACTGAATTTACACAAGTCCATTAGCGATGGGTGCTTGTGATTGTCACGTAGCGTTTATTTATTGTCATGTGACATAGGGTGTTAAATCGTCACGATTCATTTTAAAGCTTGATGGTGGGAGAGTTCGAGTTGACATATAAACAGAATGTATTTGTAATATATAATATAAATATAATATAGAGAATATACTCAAACACACACATATACATAAACTTCATTATAAAATGTAATTTATTTGTTACAAGTATATTAATAGCAATAATAATAAGAATGAACTGATGGAAATCTGATGGAAATTCAACTATAAAATAATTCTTTATAATACATTTTAATAATAATAATAAATATTTTCCAGATAATATTTTAAGAATAATTTGTCTTGACTTTATTATAATGACAAAACAAAAGCCAATTATGCTAAAAAATATGTTGTCTTTATAATATCACACATACTATTTTGTTCTCACACAGTATTAAAGGGTCTGTACAAGAAAAGAAAGAATTATATTTGGTAGTCCCTGACATTTTACTTGGTTTGTTTGGTTACCCACATAACTCAAAATATTTTCTTTTGTGTTCAACAGAACAAAGAAACACATACAGGTTTAGAACATCTAATTTAATAGCCAATGATGTCTAAAATGCTGCCTATGGATTATTATTATTACGGATGGCTAATCTATATCCTGTCTTGGTGGTGTTTTTCAGATCTGGCAGTGTGGAGGGACTCTGGAAATCCATCCTTGCTCTCACGTGGGTCACGTGTTTCCAAAGAAAGCGCCATATTCAAGAAACAAGGCCTTGGCCAACAGTGTGCGGGCGGCAGAAGTCTGGATGGATGAATTCAAAGAAGTGTATTACCACCGTAGCCCTCATGCACGTCTGGTACGCCCACTTGTGCGGTCTGTTGCATAACTCTGCTTTTGTTTGCTTATCTGAGTATGTTTATAGCACCATCTATCTTCGAGATTAGAGGAAGTTGACTCTTTGTGAACAATGCACATAGTATTTGGCACAATCTGTTGACATGCTCTGAAGGAATGGCATTTAGCAGGTGGGCTGAAACTCCTCAGGTGACATTCTCTGTGCTCAGTGTGAAATTACTATAGTGAGAAGTGCAGCAACTCTCAGTCCGTGTTTGCCATTCACGGTCCCCACTGAGCCCTGTAGTTAAAGAGAGAGGTGCTCTTGGTGACAGATCGGGTGACCCTTTTCTCTCTGAAACTTGGAGATGCTGCCAGGTTGGCGCTACCAACTCGAAATCAATCTAATGTGATGCCAGCAGATAAGTCTCTCTCTCTTCAGGTATAAACCACAGGCAAACATTGGGCTTGCCAGCGTGGATCAGGTTTGACAACCTTCATACTCCGCTTCCACGCAAACTTGTAAGAGGATCACTCTCTCTTTCACCCTCCGAGTCTCACGACATATTTTATTCATGGCCAAAATCTCTGTCGGTTGTGCCACAGAGTCCTAAAGATCAACAAAACAGGGCTCTGTGATGGATCTCGATGATCAGAAAGCTTCATTTGACAGCCGCTCAATTGACCGTGTAGCTGGACGGTACGTGCCTGCCTCAGGACTTTGTTGAGACTGAAGATCAGATCACAGTCAGATCATCAATGTGTGTGGTGTTGTGCCACCCGGCTGGCACTCACAGCAGGGCCGTACGTTATTGATGAAGCACTATCAACTTGGTTAATTAGACGTACACTTCCTTTCATTCGTCTTTCCGCAGATCTGCTGAACCTTTTCGACAGAGCTCTACTTCCAACAGATGTTCCTCATAAGGGATCATATCTCTGGCAACAGTGCAGACCATCACTCACCAGTAATTCTTGCCTGACAGGCGGTTATGAGGGGGTACCACAGCCACAAACAAACAGGGGAACTTGGCCTATATCAGTCTTGTTTGCTGAGGTGGGGTTGCAGCATTATTTTGCATCGAAGTATTTTATGGTTTACCGCAGCGGGGTAATTGCATCAGAATGTTTTAAACACAAGATTAGATGTTTGGTTTCATGTGATCATTTTGTGAAAACAGATGATGTACTGTGAAGAGAGAGCACAGTCTGTTCATGTGACATTTCCTGATATAATTCAAGCGAAATCAAATCAAGTGCCGAATTGCAGAGCTAGCATGAACGTATCCACATCGCTATGATAAGATGCTTTCTTAGCTGCTGCTTTCTTACTGCTGTCATTTTTCTTGTTTATTTTGTTGTTAAAGGGATACTCCACTTTTTTTTGGAAATAGGCTCATTTTACCACTCCCCCAGAGTTAAACAGTTGGGTTTTACCGTTTTCGATTGTATTCAGACGATTTTTTTTTTTACATTTAGAAGAATATCAGTTACCAGACAGTTTCTGGTCTCATTGACTTCCATAGTATATTTTTTTTTCCTACTATGGAAGTCAATAAGACCAAAAACTGTCTGGTTACTGATATTCTTCTAAATATCAGAAAATCGGCTGAATGGATTTGAAAACGGTAAAACCCAACTGTTTAACTCTGTGGGAGTGGTAAAATGAGCCTATTTCCAAATAAAGTGGAGTATCCCTTTAAGAGGAAAGCACTCAGCATATTTACATATTCATATAAACGGCATCGCCGCTATTAGCAGCATGGTCTGCATAAGGTATCTGAGTATATTCTTAATGCAAGATTTATCGTTGCTCATACTTGATGGATTCCTAAAGACCTAATTTTTGTCTTTGTTTGACAAAGAAAACATACTGACCAATGGCATATGAGCTTTCATTTCACAAGGGCATCCAAGATGTAGCTGTCTTTGTTTCCGCAGTTGTTTCAATTTTAATATTTTTAGGTCAAACCATTCTTGTCTGTCAGTCATATAATGCAGGTCTATGGTCACCACCTCAAAGAGCATGCACAGAGAAGTCTAAATTAAACGCAATTTAATGACTCGCAAATGTAAGTACACATTGATGGCCTAAGACACGAAACGAGCGGTTTGTGTGAGAAAACAAACAGTATTTATATTATTTTTACCTCTTGTAACCACAGCCATTTCCAAGTGATTTGAGGGACGCGGGTACTTTGTGGACGTGGTTACAAGAGGTTTTCTCACACAAACCGCTCGTTTCGTGTCTTAGGCCATCAAGGTGTACTTACATTTACCTCCATTATATGACTGACAGACAAGAACAGTGAACTATCAAAGTGAACTATTCCTTTAAGCCTGTTTTGCACATACTCCGGGGCGTGAGCTACACACGTTCATTTTGGTGCCCACATTGAACTTGGCAGATTGGATCATTCTAGAAAACAAAAAATATTAAATAAGAAAATGAACAAATCGAAACTGCAGCCAACTTTGTCTACTGTATGTAAATGTAACCATTTTCTATGCAGAGCTACAACACTTGTCATAGAGAAATGTGAACACCCAATGAAACAACTACGTGTTTACTGCTGTTGCTGCACAATTCCCCAGATAGCAAACTGACATTGAATCAGCGTGGAAACGACGTCTCTCATGACATTGAAACAACGTTGATTTTGCTCATCGAATTAACGTTGAACCAACGTCAGACGCGGCATTCTTCAAAGCTAAATGAAAATCGAAAATTGGTTTGCTTTCATAACGTTGAAACAACGCGTTGATTTCAAGTTGATTTTCCGTTAGTTTTGAAAGAATGACGCGTCTGACGTTGGTTCAACGTTAATTCGATGAGCAAAACAATGTCAGATCAACGTTGTTTCGATGTCATATTTCCACGTTGATTCAATGTCAGTTTGCTATCTGGGTCAGCATTGTAATGATGCTAAAGCTTTTGCTATTGGATGTAGAGCTGCTGTTGTCTATTTATACCTCTGAAATAGTTTTGTCCTGCAAGTAAATACTCGTTCTCTTTTGAAAGTGTGCAAATAATACGCTTTTTGTGCATGCATAATAAATGTGCACAAATTGTGTAAAATTGTCATCATTTACTGTACGTCATTGTTCTAAACCTGTATGAGTTTCTTTGTTCTGTTGAACACACAAAAAAAAAAATTTTTTTGAGGAATGTGGGTAACCAAACAAACCAAAGGTCCTTTTTGACTTCCATAATATGATATTATTAAGCAATTATTAACTTGTTTTCTTTGCTTGTTTTCAGGAAGCATATGGTGATGTGACGGACAGACGGAAACTCCGAATGCGTCTTAAGTGTAAAGATTTTAAGTGGTTCTTGGAGAACATCTACCCTGACATTCAAGTCCCAGAGGACAGGCCTGGAATGTTTGGCATGGTGAGGGGATGCATACTACTTGTGTTTACATGCACAGCTTTGTAGCTGTTAGCTTGTTCTTTTGGTTTAGAGTTTAAAATGCAAGGGGAAGCAAATTGGGACACAATGAAATGAGTTCACTTCCTTTACAATCAACAAAGCGAATGTAAAAGTGTAGTCTACATTCAAAATATGGGACTATTTCATTTAAAGGTTGAAATAATCCCAAACTTTTTCTGATTTTTTTTTTAAATAATATAGTTTAAAAAGAAAAGGAAATATTAATATCTATATATTTTTTCTCTTTAACTTTTCACTCATTATGCTGATTTATATAATTTGTATATTAAATATATATATATATTAAATAAGAAAAATACGATTTTTGGACCCTATTGTTGGAATATTTCTTTGTTTCTTCTCAACTGTAGCTGAAGAGTAAAGGAAAGGCCAACTACTGTTTTGACTACAACCCACCTGATGATCATAATATGGTCGGTCACCGAGTCATTCTTTATCCGTGTCACGGCATGGGACAAAACCAGGTAACTTTCATTCTCTCAACTGTAACGACAGACATTCGTGCTGCTCCAAGAGGTGTAAAAAGTACCATAAAAGCATTCTTAAAAATACCTAACAGCGAAAATGACTTACAAGTCACCAATTTCAGTACGACTTAGAGTAGTGAATGTAGGCTCAAAAATGCACTAGTCCTCAACACCTAAGAAATATACCAGTGAAAAACAAGAAACTGCTGGTTTGTGAGGAGTGCATCACATTTTTTAAAAATCAAAATAAAACTAAACACCTCAAAATTGCAATATATCAAGGTCGACACAACAGCCTATAAACACTCATGTCTCAGTCAAGCTCAAGGGCTCAAAAAGGGCATAAGTAAACAAATATCCTTCAAAAAGGTTTCTTCAGTACAACAGATAAATAAATTACTGTTACTTGACTACTTGCGGGCTCCTCATCTCCTATATGAAACACATATTCGTGTAAAGTAGCCATGCTGACAAGTTTGGGTGAGTAAGGGCAAAACGCACAAGATATAGTACCTTCGATGCCCTTTTTGTTGCCGTAGATTAGAAAAAGTTAGGTGACATGCAAATGTAACGAGTAATTGCATTACTCATCACAAATGTATTGAAGTAAAGAGTACATATACTTCTTCAAAACAATACACAGAGATTTAATGCATCCTCAGGAATACGCATGGAAGTGTCTCTCACAGCTGTAATGTATTATTAAAATGCCATTCTAATATGGCGCAGTAAATAATGTGTTGTGCACTTCACAGCACGCTTGTTTTTAAAGTGACTTTAGCCGCCTGGCACAGCAGCGTGACTTCTTTCGTCTCCTCCCTCTCTGTGGGGAGGCAGATGAGCCCTGGAGACTTATCAGTGCACAATATCAGCTGTGTACAGCACAACAACACTCTTCTGATGGAATACAAGAGTGTTGTGAATGCAAGACTCTCTGTGAATACGAGAGAAATGCTCTTCTGATTCTGTCTGGTTTAGTACATATGGGTCAATCCTGTTAAGCCTTAAATCCTTTTGAGACTCAAAGTATTTCACTATTTCACCCTTTTTCAAAGTTTTGAATTTGTTTTTTGAATTTGTAATATTTCGCAATATTACCATTTTAACTGTATTTTCGATTAAATAAATGCAGCTTTGGTGAGGATAAGAGACTTCTTTCAAAAACATAAAAACATTTCAGTGTTTCCAAACTTTTGACACTTATACACTTATACAAAACAAAAATTTTATTGATTACAATAATGTGATTTAAACACTATATTTCCTATTAATACAACTACTGGTAATGCATGGTTTTGTTGAGTGCTTTGTACGGTAATTTGTCTTCAGATTTGAGATTTTAAAAGAAGCAATTCATCTGCAAATTAGACAAACCAAAGATCCAGATTGCTCCACAAATGCAAATTCATACATTCATACATCCTTTAATATGGTTAAACACTGCAAACAGATGGTGTCTCCGTAGTTTTCACCTCTTTACATTATGAAAACTGGTTTGTTGTCAGAAAGATCAGGAATCATGGAGGACACCAGGTTTATTAAAAAAAAAAAAAATATATATATATATATATATTTAAAAATTTATAAATTTATTCTTTTTTTTTTAAATCGAATACATTAAGTTACTATATGATGGGGACAAAATGTACTGCATAACATGATTGACCCGTATGTGCGCCTCTATCAGATGTTGCTGTTTTTGGATTTGTCTTTGATTAAGATTTGATGTGTTGAGCTTCTATGTGTGATTATTTTCCTTTCTCGTTTTGTGACAGTTCTTCGAGTACTCAACGCTCCAAGAGATCCGTTATAACACGAGGGATCCTGCAGGCTGTATCGTAGCTGATCCCGTGTCCACATTCCTTACCATGCAGCACTGCAGTAAACCCAGGGAACCTGTGCCTGAAGAACAGAAGTTTATATTCAGAGAGGTGAGGTCATTGAACACATCAGTACAAACAGTTTTATTAAAATTAATTACATTAATCACATATATATACACTACTGTTCAATGGTTTGGGATCAGTAAGATTTTCTTCTGAAAGAAATGAATATTATTTACAAAATATTCTATTTCATTAGTTACAAAATATTCTATTTCAAATAAAGGATGTTGTTTTGAACTTTCTATTCATCAAAAAATCATGAAAAAAATATTAAGCTTCAATTGATGATGATGATGATGATGATCATAATAAATGTTTCTTAAGCACCAAATCTGTATATTAAAATGATTTCTGAAGGATCATGTGACACTGAAGACTGGAGTAATGATGCTGAAAATTTAGCTTTTTCATTACTGGAATATATTATATTTTAAAACAGAAGACAGTTATTTTAAGTTGCAAAATTTGTTCACAATATAACTGTTTTAAATGTATTTTTGTATTGATCAATTAAATGCAGCATAAGAGTCTTCTTCCAAAAACATAAAATCTTACCAACCTCAAACTTTTAAACAGTATTGTATTTGCTGAGAAATGCCGGCACATAAAGATCATTTTAAGACAGTTTTGTTGCATTTGATTAAATCAATAAATAGACATCATTAGAACATTATATATATATTTAAATAAATAAACACAACACTAAACACAATCACTGACATTTAGTCATCGGCAATTAACATTCAACTCATGATGGTTGCTTTATAATTATATATATATATATATATATATATATTTATATATATATATATGAAGAGTGCCATTTGAAATTTTCTTTTAGAATAATAATTTTTATCAAGCTTGTATATTTAAGTTATTTCACTTAATTGCCTTTTGCCTTTTTTGTAGTTACCAAACCACATGGTAACCCCTGTCAATTTAAAACTAATGCATTCATAAATTATATATATATATATATATATATATATATATATAAATGCATTAGTTTTAAATTGACAGGCATTACCATGTGGTTTGGTTGGTATTCAGGACAAGAATTGTACACATGCATGCTTTGCAGCACTTCAGGTGTCCTTCCAAGCAAACAACGGGCCAAGTAAATGTCACATTAAAGCGTTACTTGAGAAAGTCACGGACAGCAAGAGGTTTCAGTGTGGCTTGCGGTGTCATTTCACAAGCAAGCCTTAGTGTGAACTCTCGCCAGTACAGCGAGCACCTGAAGAGCAGCGTGACGACAGCAGGTTTCTCACTAGACTGTGGGGAATTAGAGCTGGGAGCAAATGAAATGCTAGGGGTTCCCGAGCTTCCTGTTCTAGTGGGCCTGAGGCTTTTATAGTATTCGAACAAACCCCTGACTTTAAGTATTTAAATCAGACAATCTAAGTCTTATCATAATCTTTGCATTTGCAGGATGGCTCTCTCTACCACGTTCAGACACAGAAATGCATTGAGGCAGTGGACAGGACTGACAATGGGAACCCTGGCCCCGCTCTCCGCCCCTGCTCAGACTCGGACTCCCAGAAGTGGTTCTTCGAAGAGAGGACATAGCAAAGGTTCTCTCTACACTTTTCATATCAGCTGCTCCAACTCCACAGCAGTTTATTGATCATTCCAATTCCTCCACTTAGGATTGATAGTGCCTTCCTGTTACAAGAGGTGCACAGTACAGACTGTGATTAATGAATTAGATTTGAACATTTCTGAGTATTAAAATTCATCACTTATAATAGAGTCGTTCAGTTTTTAATCTTGAAACCTGAAGAGAGTGACCATTTTCGTGCCAATGAGTGTTCTCTGAAATTTCAAAAGAGTTTTGGATTCATGAATTAAATAACACGTGTATACATACGCTGAGTAATAAAACAAAATATAAAAAGAAAATAATATTTTTTCAGCAAGGGTGCATTAAATTGCTAATGTAATAATAAACAAATAGAAAACAGTTATTTTAATAATATTTCACAATATTACTGTATTTTAGATCAAATAAATGCAACCTTAGTGAGCAGAAGAGACTTCAAAAACAAAACAAAATCTTACACACCCCAAACTTTTGTGCAAATAGACATTGTCACTGAACACATCCATGTCTCTGCAAAGACAAACACTGTATTTATCATTTAATTTTATAGGAAGGTAATTTGAGTTATTTGAAACAGTCAGTGCTGCCAGCTCCATCTGCTGGTGTCTTATCCTCCCCTGCTATTCTACAAAGTAGCTTCAATTAGAGTTTTTCGACTTGACATTTTCCTGCTTCTAGCATTTTAAAATTCTCCCCCCTCTGTGATTTGATACCTGATGTAACTTAGGGCCTCTTGGCAGCTTAGTAGTGTGTTTATTTTCGGCTGAGTATTGAGATGGCAGTGCTACTGCTGCCATTCTCTTTCCAACCACCAGATGGTGCCAAATTCTCCATTTTACTCCATGTCCTTCCTCCATGTTGTAACATCATCTCATATTTACAGTACATGTCTGTAATTTCAGTAGCTCACTATGCTCAGACTGTGATGCGAGGTTACACTTTTTATACACAATTACAGTTAAAAAAAGTACCATGATTGCTACTTGTTTCTGAAAGCGTATGGCAGCCTACCTCTAGTCATTTACCTGCTGTAGGTGATTGTTGGGCATTTGAAGGGAACAAAACAGAGCTGGATGTCACAGAAAATACTCAGCCCGTTCTCATCCTAAGGCAGATATATATGGGACGCAGATATATGTGGACCAGAAGGCGCCTCCTAGTGGTCCAAACCTAACCCTACCCCAGACCTAAACCTACCCATAACCGAAGCGTGTTATATTGACGCTAAAGGGTGCCATGTGCGTTGGATGTATACGCATTGGCAAAAGCGTCAGTATATGACGCCTTGGGATGAGAATGCGTTGAAATACTAGATTGTAGTGGTCAAAGTGCTGTGATTTTGCTTCATTTTCCCCTAAACTTGTAGAGAAACAGTGCAAGATATAATGGTGCTTTTCCACGGCGTTGAACGACTCAGCTCGGCTCACTTTACTTTGGCTCGGTTTGCTTTTCCACAGCAGTTTAGTATCGCTTCAAAGTGGGTGGGATTCGTCTACTGACCATGATACAGCCGTTTCTTTTTTTCAAGTTGCGTGTGACGGCTGTGTAAAGCAAGTTGTTTAAAAAAAGTTGTGTGAACAAATTATACTGCGGTGGCTGTTGCCGACTAGGCTATTTAAATCTAGCAGGTTTGACGTCTCGTGTCTCAAATCCTATGACGCTGGTAGTAACGATTCTCTCTGACCAATCAGTGATCTGCAGTGTTTACTCATTACATTTTAGCATCACTACGGCTCGCTTCCTTGAAACCTCAACTGAGGTGATACTAAAAAAAATGACCAGGAACAATACACAGTGGAAACCCCCCCCAAAAGTGAGCCGTACCGAGCCATACCATGCAGTGACAAAGCACCATAAATGTCTGTCCATCTGTGGGTCAGTTTCTCATGCTGAATGATCGTTTCTGTCAGGCTAACGTCATTTGTCATGAATTTGTCAGTTTGTCTCAGTTATTTATTAAGTAAGAGTGTGGTGCAGGGATTACTTATTTTTTATAGGCCAACCCAGAAGTTAGCATCACCCTGGTTCCCTAGCAACAAAAAAAGGATTTTTTTTCATTGGCTTTTGGATTATTGCAGAAAATAAGTTCTGTGAATAACAGAAGCTTATGATCCTTACATGTTTTGTTCGTAGAATTAATCTGAAGGTGGACTAGCGAGTAGGCCTAGATGAGTTTACCTGATAATGTCCCGACAACCTCTGTTTCCTCACATTTAGACACTTGTTAGCAACCGCCTTTTACAAGACAAGTAAAACATTACAAGAAGGTATTACTGATATATATTATATCATAGAATAAAACATGAAATATCTTGAGATT